GACACACACCTACACACACACACCTACACAGACACCACACACACACCTACACAGACACACCTACACAGACACACACCTACACAGACACACACCTACACAGACACACACCTACACAGACACCACACACACACCTACACACACACCCACACAGACACACACCTACACAGACACACACCTACACAGACACACACCTACACACACACCTACACAGACACACACCTACACACACCTACACAGACCACAGACACACACCTACACACACACACCTACACAGACCACAGACACACACCTACACACACACACCTACACAGACACCACACACACACACCTACACACACACACCTACACACACACACCTACACAGACACACACCTACACACACACACCTACACAGACACCACACACACACCTACACACACACCTACACAGACACACACCTACACAGACACACCTACACAGTGTCACAGGAGGAGATCAAGCTGGGTGCAGCAGGCAATAGTTTTATTTGTGATATTAACTTAGAGGGGCTGTGTGAGTGTGTGAGTGATTATTCTTTTAAACCACCACGACAACCACCACCAATCTGCTGGGTCTCCAACTTCAAGTCACACACACACCCACACAGACACACCTACACAGACACACACCTACACAGACACACACCTACACAGACACACACCTACACAGACACACACCTACACAGACACACACCTACACAGACACACACCTACACACACCTACAGACACACACCTACACAGACACACACCTACACACACCTACACACACACACCTACACACCTACACAGACACACCTACACACACACACCTACACACACACCTACACAGACACACACCTACACACACACCTACATAGACACACCTACACACACACCTACACACACCTACACAGACACACCTACACACACCTACACAGACACACACCTACACAGACACACACCTACACACACACACCTACACACACACACCTACAGTCACACACACACCTACACAGTGTCACAGGAGGAGGCCAAGCTGGGTGCAGCAGGCAATAGTTTTATTTGTGATATTAACTTAGAGGGGCTGTGTGAGTGTGTGAGTGATTATTCTTTTAAACCACCACGACAACCACCACCAATCTGCTGGGTCTCCAACTTCAAGTCACACACACACCCACACAGACACACACACCTACACAGACACACACCTACACACACACACACCTACACACACACACCTACAGTCACACACACACCTACAGTCACACACACCTACACGGACACACCTACACAGACACACACCTACACACACCTACACATACACACCTACACATACACACCTACACACACACACCTACACACACACCTACACAGACACAGACACACACCTACACACACACACCTACAGTGTCACACCTACACACACACACCTACACAGTGTCACAGGAGATCAAGCTGGGTGCAGCAGGCAATAGTTTTATTTGTGATATTAACTTAGAGGGGCTGTGTGAGTGTGTGAGTGATTATTCTTTTAAACCACCACGACAACCACCACCAATCTGCTGGGTCTCCAACTTCAAGTCACACACACACCCACACAGACACACACACCTACACAGACACACACCTACACACACACACACCTACACACACACACCTACAGTCACACACACACCTACAGTCACACACACCTACACGGACACACCTACACAGACACACACCTACACACACCTACACATACACACCTACACATACACACCTACACACACACACCTACACACACACCTACACAGACACAGACACACACCTACACACACACACCTACAGTGTCACACCTACACACACACACCTACACAGTGTCACAGGAGATCAAGCTGGGTGCAGCAGGCAATAGTTTTATTTGTGATATTAACTTAGAGGGGCTGTGAGAGTGTGTGAGTGATTATTCTTTTAAACCACCACGACAACCACCACCAATCTGCTGGGTCTCCAACTTCAAGTCACACACACACACCTACACAGACACACACCTACACACACCTACAGTCTCACACACACACACACCTACACACACACACCTACACAGACAAACACCTACACATACACACCTACACAGACACACACCTACACACACACACCTACACAGACACACCTACACACACACACCTACACAGACACACACCTACACACACACACACCTACACACACACACACACCTACACACACACACACCTACACACACACACACCTACACTGTCACACCTACAGTCACACACACACACCTACACACACCTACACTGTCACACCTACAGTCACACACACCTACACACACACCTACAGTCTCACAGACACACACCTACAGTCACACACACCTACACAGACACACACCTGCACAGTGTCACACCTACACAGACACCTACAGTAACACCTACACAGACACACACCTACACAGACACACCTAGTCATACACACACACCTACACAGTCACACACCTACAGTCACACACACCTACACAGACACACCTACAGTCACACACACACACCTACACAGTCACACACCTACAGTCACACCTACAGTCACACACACACCTACACAGACACACACTTAGTCACACACACCTAGTGTCACACCTACACAGACACACACACACCTACAGTGTCACACCTACACACACACCTACACACACCTACACAGTGTCACAGGAGGAGATCAAGCTTGGTGCAGCAGGCAATAGTTTTTATTTGTGATATTAACTTAGAGGGGCTGTGTGAGTGTGTGTGAGTGATTATTCTTTTAAACCACCACCACAACAACAACCAGCAATCTGCTGGGTCTCCAACTTCAAGTCACAGACACACACCTACACAGACACACCTACACAGACACACCTACACAGACACACACCTACACAGACACACACCTACACAGACACACACCTACACCTACACAGTCACACACCTACACAGACACACCTACACAGACACACACCTACACAGACACACACCTACACAGACACGCCTACACAGACACACCTACACAGACACACACCTACACAGACACACCTACACAGACACACCTACAGTCACACACACCTACAGTCACACACACACCTACACAGACACACCTACAGTCACACACACCTACAGTCACACCTACACAGACACACCTACACAGACCACAGACACACACCTACACACACACACCTACAGTCACACACACCTACACAGACACACACCTACACACACCTACACAGACCTATACACACACACACCTACACAGACACACCTACACAGACACCTACACAGACACACACCTACACAGTCACACACCTACACATACACCTACAGTCACACACACCTACACAGTGTCACAGGAGGAGATCAAGCTGGGTGCAGCAGGCAATAGTTTTATTTGTGATATTAACTTAGAGGGGCTGTGTGAGTGTGTGAGTGATTATTCTTTTAAACCACCACGACAACAACCACCAATCTGCTGGGTCTCCAACTTCAAGTCACACACACACCTACACAGACACACACCTACACAGACACACACCTACACAGACACACACCCACACAGACACACACCCACACAGACACACACCTACACAGTCACACACCTACACACACACCTACACAGACACACACCTACACACACACCTACAGTCTCACACACACACCTACACACACACACACCTACACAGACACACACACCTACACACACACACCTACACAGACACACCTACAGTCACACACACCTACACACACACACCTACACAGACACACACCTACACGGACACACACCTACACAGACACACACCCACACAGACACACACCCACACAGACACACACCTACACAGTCACACACCTACACAGACACACACCTACACACACACCTACACACACCTACAGTCTCACACACACACACCTACACACACACACACCTACACAGACACACACACCTACACAGACACGCACACCTACAGACACACCTACAGTCACACACACCTACACACACACACCTACACAGACACACACCTACACAGACACACACCTACACAGACACACACCTACACAGACACACACCTACACAGACACACACCTACACAGACACACACCTACACAGACACACACCTACACAGACACACACCTACACAGACACACACCTACACATACACCTACAGTCACACACACCTACACACACACCTACACACACACCTACAGACACACACCTACACAGACACACACCTACACACACACACACACACCTACACACACACACACCTACACAGACACCACACACACACCTACACACACACCTACACAGACACACACCTACACACACACACCTACACAGACACACACCTACACACACACACCTACACACACACACCTACACAGACACACACCTACACACACACACCTACACAGACACACACCTACACAGTGTCACAGGAGGAGACCACTCTGGGTGCAGCAGGCAATAGTTTTATTTGTGATATTAACTTAGAGGGGCTGTGTGAGTGTGTGAGTGATTATTCTTTTAAACCACCACAACAACAACCACCACCAATCTGCTGGGTCTCCAACTTCAAGTCACACACACACCTACACAGTCACACACCTACACAGACACACCTACACACACACACACCTACACAGACACACACACCTACACAGACACACACCTACACACGTACACACCTACACAGTGTCACAGGAGGAGACCAAGTTGGGTGCAGCAGGCAATAGTTTTATTTGTGATATTAACTTAGAGGGGCTGTGAGTGTGTGAGTGATTATTATTTTAAACCACCACCACCACCACCAATCTGCTGGGTCTCCAACTTCAAGTCACACACACACACCTACACAGTCACACACACCTACACAGACACACCTACACACACACACACCTACACAGACACACACACCTACACATACACACCTACCCACACCTACAGTCACACACACCTACACACACACCTACACAGACACACACCTACACAGACACACCTACAGTCACACCTACACACACACACCTACACACACACACCTACAGTGTCACAGGAGGAGATCAAGCTGGGTGCAGCAGGCAATAGTTTTCTTTGTGAGATTAAGTTAGAGGGGCTGTGTGAGTGTGTGAGTGATTATTATTTTAAACCACCACCACAACAACAACCAGCAATCTGCTGGGTCTCCAACTTCAAGTCACAGACACACCTACACAGACACACACCTACACAGTCACACACCTACACAGACACACACCTACACAGACACACACCTACACAGACACACACCTACACAGACACACACCTACACAGACACACACCTACACATACACCTACAGTCACACACACCTACACACACACCTACAGACACACACCTACACAGACACACACCTACACACACCTACACACACACACCTACACAGACACACACCTACACAGACACCACACACACACCCCTACACACACACCTACACAGACACACACCTACACACACACACCTACACAGTGTCACAGGAGGAGACCACTCTGGGTGCAACAGGCAATAGTTTTATTTGTGATATTAAGTTAGAGGGGCTGTGAGTGTGTGAGTGATTATTATTTTAAACCACCACCACCACCACCAATCTGCTGGGTCTCCAACTTCAAGTCACACACACACACCTACACAGTCACACACACCTACACACCTACACAGACACACACACCTACACATACACACCTACAGTCACACACACCTACACACACACCTACACAGACACACACCTACAGTCACCTACACACACACACCTACACACACACACCTACACAGTGTCACAGGAGGAGATCAAGCTGGGTGCAGCAGGCAATAGTTTTATTTGTGATATTAACTTAGAGGGGCTGTGTGAGTGTGTGAGTGATTATTCTTTTAAACCACCACAACAACAACCACCAGCAATCTGCTGGGTCTCCAACTTCAAGTCTACGCCTGGGTTAGGTTAACATCCCCCCCAGTCGTATAGTCACCCCAATAGTCGTCCCCCCAGTCGTATAGTCACCCCGCCAGTCGTATAGTCACCCCGCCAGTCGTATAGTCACCCCGCTAGTCGTCCCCTCCATCACCCCGCTAGTCATATAGTCACCCTGCTAGTCCCCTCCATCACCCCGCTAGTCGTATAGTCACCCCGCTAGTCGTCCCCCCAGTCGTATAGTCACCCCGCCAGTCGTATAGTCACCCCGCTAGTCGTATAGTCACCCCGCCAGTCGTATAGTCACCCCGCTAGTCGTATAGTCACCCCGCCAGTCGTATAGTCACCCCGCTAGTCGTATAGTCACCCCGCTAGTTGTATAGTCACCCCGCCAGTCGTATAGTCACCCCGCTAGTCGTATAGTCACCCCGCTAGTCGTCCACGTCCCCCTACACCCCCCGCTAGTCGTCCCCTCCACCCCCCGCTAGTCGACCCCCTCCACCCCCCGCTAGTCGACCCCCTCCACCCCCCGCTAGTCGTCCCCCACTCCACCCCGCTAGTCGTCCCCCTAGTCGTCCCCCCTAGTCGTCCACCCCCCCATAGTCGTCCATGTCCCCCACTCCACCCCCCGCTAGTCATCCCCCCTAGTCGTCCCCGCTAGTCGTCCCCCCCCTAGTCGTCCCCACCCTAGTCGTCCATGTCTCCGCAGGCGACGGCGTCGTGGTAGCTGCGTCCACCCCCCTTGTCCCCCACTCCACCCCGCTAGTCGTCCACTCCACCCCGTTAGTCGTCCATGTCCCCGCTAGTCGTCCCCGCTAGTCATCCACCCCCCGCTAGTCGTCCCCCCCGCTAGTCGTCCATGTCCCCCTGTCTCCCCGCTAGTCGTCCCCGCTAGTCGTCCATGTCTCCGCTAGTCGTCCACTCCACCCCGCTAGTCGTCCATGTCCCCCACTCCACCCCGCTAGTCGTCCACTCCACCCCCCGCTAGTCGGCCCCCACTCCACCCTAGTCGTCCATGTCTCCACAGGCGACGGCGTCGTGGTAGCTGCGTCCACCCCCCTTGTCCCCCACTCCACCACCCCGCTAGTCGTCCACCCCCCTAGTCGTCCCCCCTAGTCGTCCCCCCTGCTAGTCGTCCATGTCTCCGCAGGCGACGGCATCGTGGTAGCTGCGTCCGCCGCCCTTGTCGTCCCCCTGCTAGTCGTCCACTCCACCCCCCTAGTCGTCCACTCCACCCCCCTAGTCGTCCCCCCTAGTCGTCCCCCCTAGTCGTCCACCCCCCTAGTCGTCCACCCTAGTCGTCCCCCCTAGTCGTCCACCCCCCTAGTCGTCCACCCCCCTAGTCGTCCACCCCCCTAGTCGTCCACCCCCCTAGTCGTCCACCCCCCTAGTCGTCCACCCTAGTCGTCCACCCCCCTAGTCGTCCCCCCTGCTAGTCGTCCATGTCTCCACAGGCGACGGCGTCGTGGTAGCTGTGTCCGCCCCCCTAGTCGTCCCCTGCTAGTCGTCCACCCCCCTAGTCGTCCCCCCTAGTCGTCCACCCCCTGCTAGTCGTCCCCCCTAGTCGTCCACCCCCCTAGTCGTCCACCACCCTAGTCGTCCATGTCTCCACAGGCGACGGCGTCGTGGTAGCTGCGTCCGCCCCCCTTGTCCCCCACTCCACCACCCCGCTAGTCGTCCCCCACTCCACCACCCCCCTAGTCGTCCACCCTAGTCGTCCACCCTAGTCGTCCATGTCTCCACAGGCGACGGCGTCGTGGTAGCTGTGTCCGCCCCCCTAGTCGTCCCCTGCTAGTCGTCCACCCCCCTAGTCGTCCACCCCCTGCTAGTCGTCCCCCCTAGTCGTCCACCCCCCTAGTCGTCCACCACCCTAGTCGTCCATGTCTCCACAGGCGACGGCGTCGTGGTAGCTGCGTCCGCCCCCCTTGTCCCCCACTCCACCACCCCGCTAGTCGTCCCCCACTCCACCACCCCCCTAGTCGTCCACCCTAGTCGTCCACACCCCCCTAGTCGTCCATGTCTCCACAGGCGACGGCGTCGTGGTAGCTGCGTCCGCCGCCCCCCTTGCCCTCGGGCTGCAGCTGCAGGAGGTCGTCGATGCGCAGGATGGTGATGGCGGCCTCCGTGGCAAAGCGAAGACTTCGCGTCTTCACCAGGGCCGGCTCCAGCACACCAGCGGCACGGTTGTCACGGGGGCGGCCACTCGCAAGGTCCAGGCCCACCCTGCGGTGGGTGGAGAGGGTGGAGAGAGAGAGGGTTAGAGGGGGTTAGAGGTGGTGGGTGGGTTGGTGGGTGGGTTGGTTGGTTGGTTGGTGGGTGGGTTAGTGGGTGGGTGGGTGAGAGGGTGGAGAGAGAGAGGGTTAGAGGGGGTTAGAGGTGGTGGGTGGGTTGGTGGGTTGGTGGGTGGGTTGGTGGGGGAGTGGGGGAGTGGGTGGGTGGGTGAGTGGGTGGGTGAGTGGGTGGGTGGGTGGGTTAGAGGAGAGGTGGGTGAGTGGGTGGGTGGGTTGGTGGGTTGGTGGGGGAGTGGGGGAGTGAGTGGGTGGGTGAGTGGGTGAGTAGGTGGGTGGGTTAGAGGAGAGGTGGGTGAGTAGGTGGGTTGGTGGGTGGGTTAGTGGGTGAGTGAGTGAGTGGGTGGGTGGGTGAGTGGGTGAGGTGGGTGGGTGGGTTAGAGGAGAGGTGGGTGAGTAGGTGGGTGGGTTGGTGGGTTAGTGGGGGAGTTAGTGGGTGAGTGAGTGGGTGGGTGAGTGGGTGAGTGAATGGGTGGGTGACTGAGTGAATCAATGAGCGAGTGGGTGGGTGGGTGGGTGAGTGGGTGGGTGGGTGGGTTAGTGGGTGGGGGAGTGGGTGGGTGGGTGAGTGGGTGAGTAGGTGGGTGGGTTAGAGGAGAGGTGGGTGAGTAGGTGGGTTGGTGGGTGGGTTAGTGGGTGAGTGAGTGAGTGGGTGGGTGGGTTAGTGGGTGAGTGGGTGGGTGGGTGGGTTAGAGGAGAGGTGAGTGAGTAGGTGGGTGGGTTGGTGGGTTAGTGGGTGGGTGAGTGGGTGAGTAGGTGGGTGGGTTAGAGGAGAGGTGGGTGAGTAGGTGGGTTGGTGGGTGGGTTAGTGGGTGAGTGGGTGAGTGAGTGGGTGGGTTAGAGGAGAGGTGGGTGAGTAGGTGGGTTGGTTGGTGGGTTGGTGGGGGAGTGGGTGAGTGAGTGGGTGGGTGGGTGAGTGGGTGAGTAGGTGGGTGGGTTAGAGGAGAGGTGGGTGAGTAAGTGGGTTGGTGGGTTGGTTGGTGGGGGAGTAGGGGAGTGAGTGAGTGGGTGGGTGGGTGAGTGGGTGGGTTGGTGAGTTAGTGGGTTAGAGGAGAGGTGGGTGAGTAGGTGGGTTGGTGGGTTGGTTGGTGGGTTAGTGGGTGAGTGGGTGAGTAGGTGGGTGGGTTGGTGGGTGAGCGGGTGGGTGGGTGGGTTAGCAAGTGGGTGGGTGGGTGAGTGGATGGGTGGGTGGGTGAGTGAGTAGGTGGGTGGGTGGGTGAGTGGATGGGTGGGTGGGTGAGTGAGTAGGTGGGTGGGTGGGTGAGTGGGTGGGTGGGTTGGTGGGTTGGTGGGGGAGTGGGGGAGTGAGTGGGTTAGTGGGTTAGTGGGTGAGTGAGTGGGTGGGTGAGTGAGTGGGTGGGTGGGTGGGTTAGAGGAGAGGTGGGTGAGTAGGTGGGTTGGTGGGTTGGTGGGTGGGTGGGGGAGTTGGTGGGTTAGTGGGTGGGTGGGTTGGTGGGTGGGTTAGTGGGGGAGTGGGTGGGTTAGTGAGTAGGTGGGTTGGTGAGTGGGTGGGTTGGTGGGTGAGTGGGTGGGTGAGTGGGTGAGTGGGTGAGTGGGTGGGTTAGAGGAGAGGTGGGTGAGTAGGTGGGTGGGTTGGTGGGTTAGTGGGTGGGTGAGTGGGTGAGTAGGTGGGTGGGTTAGAGGAGAGGTGGGTGAGTAGGTGGGTTGGTGGGTGGGTTAGTGGGTGAGTGGGTGAGTGAGTGGGTGGGTTAGAGGAGAGGTGGGTGAGTAGGTGGGTGGGTGGGTTAGAGGAGAGGTGGGTGAGTAGGTGGGTTGGTGGGTGGGTTAGTGGGTGAGTGAGTGAGTGGGTGGGTGGGTTAGTGGGTGAGTGGGTGGGTGGGTGGGTTAGAGGAGAGGTGGGTGAGTAGGTGGGTGGGTTGGTGGGTTAGTGGGTGGGTGAGTGGGTGAGTCGGTGGGTGGGTTAGAGGCGAGGTGGGTGAGTAGGTGGGTTGGTGGGTGGGTTAGTGGGTGAGTGGGTGAGTGAGTGGGTGGGTTAGAGGAGAGGTGGGTGAGTAGGTGGGTTGGTTGGTGGGTTGGTGGGGGAGTGGGTGAGTGAGTGGGTGGGTGAGTGGGTGAGTAGGTGGGTGGGTTAGAGGAGAGGTGGGTGAGTAGGTGGGTTGGTGGGTGGGTTAGTGGGTGAGTGAGTGAGTGGGTGGGTTAGAGGAGAGGTGGGTAAGTAGGTGGGTTGGTGGGTTAGTGGGGGAGTGGGTGAGTAGGTGGGTGGGTGGGTTAGAGGAGAGGTGGGTGAGTAGGTGGGTTGGTTGGTGGGTTAGTGGGGAGGTGGGTGGGTTGGTGGGTGAGTGGGTGGGTCAGTGGGTGGGTGAGTGAGTGGGTTGGTGAGTAGGTGGGTGGGTGGGTTAGTGGGTGGGGGAGTGGGTGAGTGAGTGGGTGGGTGAGTGGGTGAGTAGGTGGGTGGGTTAGAGGAGAGGTGGGTGAGTAGGTGGGTTGGTGGGTGGGTTAGTGGGTGAGTGAGTGAGTGGGTGGGTGAGTGGGTGAGTAGGTGGGTGGGTGGGTTAGAGGAGAGGTGGGTGAGTAGGTGGGTTGGTGGGTGGGTTAGTGGGTGAGTGAGTGAGTGAGTGGGTGAGTGGGTGAGTAGGTGGGTGGGTGGGTTAGAGGAGAGGTGGGTGAGTAGGTGGGTTGGTGGGTGGGTTAGTGGGGGAGTGGGTGGGTTGGTGGGTGAGTTAGTGGGTTGGTGGGTGAGTGGGTTAGTGGGTGAGTTAGTGAGTGGGTGGGTTAGTGGGTTAGTGGGTGAGTGGGGGAATGGGTAGGTGAGTGAATCAATCAATGAGTGAGTGGGTGGGTGAGTGCGTGAGTGGGTGGGTTAGTGGGTGGGTGAGTGGGTTAGTGGGTGGGTGGGTTAGTGGGTGGGTGGGGGAGTGAGTGGGTGGGGAGTGAGTGGGTGGGTGGGGGACTGAGTGGGTGGGTGGGTGGGTTAGAGGAGAGGTGGGTGAGTAGGTGGGTTGGTGGGTGGTTTAGTGGGGGAGTGGGTGGGTTAGTGAGTAGGTGGGTTGGTGGGTGAGTGGGTGGGTGGGTTGGTGGGTGGGTTAGCAAGTGGGTGGGTGGGTGAGTGGGTGGGTTAGCAGGTGGGTGGGTGGGTTAGCAGGTGGGTGGGTGAGTGGGTGGGTTAGTGAGTGGGTGGGTGGGTTAGTGGGTGAGCGGGTGGGTGAGCGAATCAATGAGTGAGTGGGTGGGTGAGTGAGTGAGTGGGTGGGGGAGTGAGTGAGTGAGTGGGTGAGTGAGTGAGAGGGTGAGTGGGTAGGTGGGTGAGTGGGAGAGTCAGTGAGAGTGGGTGAGAGTGAGTGAGTGGGTGAGCGAGTGGGTGAGCGAGTGGGTGAGTGAGCGGGTGAGTGAGAGAGTGGGTGGTTGAGTGGGTGAGTGGGTGGGTGAGAGGATGGATGGGTGGGGGAGTGGGTGGGTGAGTGGGTTGGTGAGTGGGTGGGTGAGTGAGTGGGTGAGTGAGTGAATCAATAAGTGAGAGTGGGTGGGTTAGTGCGTGAGTGGGTGAGTGGGTGGGTGGTGAGTGGGTGGGTGGGTGAGTGGGTGGGTGGGTGAGTGGGTGAGTGAGAGAGCGGGTGAGTGAGTGAGAGGGTGAGTGGGCGAATGGGTGGGCGGGTGGGTGAGTGAGAGAGTGGGTGAGCGGGTTGGTGAGTGAGTGAGTGGGTGAGTGAGTGAGTGAGTGGGTGACAGAGTGGGTGAGTGAGCGAGTGAGTGGGTGGGTGAGCGACTGTGTGAGTGAGCGAGTGGGTAGGTGAGTGGGTGGATGAGTGAGTGGGTGAGTGAGCGAGTGAGTGGGTGGGTGGATGAGTGAGTGAGTGAGTGGGTGAGCGAGTGCGTGAGCGAGCGAGTGGTTGAGTTGGTGGTTGAGTGGGTGAGTGAGTGGGTGGCTGAGTGGGTGGTTGAGTGAGCGGTTGAGTGGTTGGGTGGTTGGATGGTTGAGCGGGCGAGTAAGTGAGTGGTTGACTGAGCGGGTGAGTGAGCTGGTGAGAGAGAGTGAGTGGTTGAGTGAGTGAGTGGCTGACTGAGTGAGCGAGCTGGTGAGCGAGCTGGTGAGCGAGCTGGTGAGCGAGCTGGTGAGCGAGCGAGCTGGTGAGCGAGCGAGCTGGTGAGCGAGCGAGCTGGTGAGCGAGCTGGTGAGCGAGCGGATGAGCGAGCGTGTGAGCGAGCGAGCTGGTGAGCGAGCTGGTGAGCGAGACGCTCACCACTTGAGGTGAGCCCTATCGGCGCTGCTCTGGGCCTGGTTGTGGTAGGCCCGGAGTTTGGCTACGAGGTCGGTGGCATCTTGAGCGGCGTTCATGGCGAGGGTTCGAGGGATCACGAGCAGCGAGCGTGCAAACTCGGCAATAGCCAGCTGCTCCCGGGAGCCCTACACAACCACAACAACAACCATCACAACCACCACCACAACCACCACCAGCATCATCACAACCACTACCAGCATCAGCATCATTACAACCATCACCACCACCACAACCACCACCACAACCACCACCACCACCAGCATCATCACAACCACCACAACCACCACCAGCATCAGCATCATAATCACAACCACAACCACCACAACCAGCATCATCACAACCACCATCAGCATCATCACAACCACCACCACCATCAGCATCATAACAACCAACACAACCACCATAACCACCACCATCAGCATCATCATCATCACAACCACCACCATCACAACCACCACCATCAGCATCATCATCACAACCACTACCACCACAACCATCAGCATCATCATCACAACCACTACCATCACAACCACTACCACCACAATCACCACCACCACCATCATAATCACAACCACCACCATCACAACCAGCACCATCAGCATAACAACCACCACCATCATAATCACAACCACCACAACCACCACCAGCATCAGCATCATCACAACTACCACCATCACAGCCACGACCACCACCATCATCATAATCACAACCACCACAACTACTACCACCACAACCACCACCACCATCATAATCACAACCACCACCATCACAACCAGCACCATCAGCATCATCACAACCACTACCACCATCATAATCACAACAACCACCACCACCATCATAATCACAACCACCACAACCACCATCATCACAACCACCACCACAACCACCACCACCATCAGCATCATCACAACCACCACCACCATCATAATCACAACAACCACCACCACCATCATAATCACAACCACCACAACCACCATCATCACAACCACCACCACAACCACCACCACCATCAGCATCATCACAACCACCACCACCATCATAATCACAACAACCACCACCATCAGCATCATCACAACCACTACCATCACACCCACTATCACCACAACCACCACCATCATCATCACAACCACGACCATCACAACCACCACAACCACCACCATCATCATCACAACCACCACCATCATCACACGGCTCACACACTCACCCACTAACTCACTCTCTCACCCCCTCACCCACCCACTCACTCTCTCACTCTCACCCTCTCAATCACTCTCCCACTCACTCACCCACTCTCTCATTCTCTCACTCAATCACCCACTCACTCACTCAATCACCCCCTCACCCACCCCCTCACCCCCTCACCCACTCACCCACTCTCTCACTCACCCACTCACCACTCACTCACCCACCCCCTCACCCCACCCACTCACCACGGACGTGGCCAGGTTCTCCAGGTAGATGGACAGGGCAGCCTCCACCGCCCCACCCCCGGGCACCACCGCTCGGGACTCCACCACTCTCACTCACTCACTCACCACTCACTCACTCACCACTCACTCACTCACCACTCTCTCAGTGACTATTCACTCACCACTCTCTCACTCACTCACTCACCCACACTCTCACCCACTCACTCACTCTCTCACCCACTCTCTCAACCACCCACTCTCTCTCTCACTCACTCACTCACCCACCCACTCACTCTCTCACTCTCTCACTCACCCACCCACTCACTCTCTCACCCACCCACTCACTCACCCACTTACTCTCTCACCCACTCACCCACCCACTCTCTCACCCACTCACTCACTCTCTCACCCACTCACTCACTCACCACTCACTCTCTCACTCACCTACCACTCACTCACCACTCACTCACCACTCACTCACTCAATCACCACTCACTCACCACTCACTCACCACTCACTCACCACTCTCTCACCACTCACTCATTCACTCATCACTCACTCACCACTCACTCACCACCCACTCACCACCCACTCACCACTCACTCACCACTCACACACCACTCACTCTCTCACCCACTCACTCACTCACCCACCCACTCACTCACTCACCCACTCACTCACCCACTCACTCTCTCTCTCACTCACTCACCCACCTTCTCACTCACACACCACTCACTCACTCACTCACCCACCCACTCACTCACTCACCCACCCACTCTCTCTCTCTCTCACCCACCCCCTCACCCCCCCACTCACCACGGACGTGGCCAGGTTCTCCAGGTAGATGGACAGGGCAGCCTCCACCGCCCCACCCCCAGGCACCACCGCTCGGGACTCCACCACTCTCACTCACTCACTCACCACTCACTCACTCACCCACTCACTCTCTCTCTCACTCACTCACCCACCTACTCACTCACACACCACTCGCTCACTCATTCACTCACTCATTCACTCACTCACTCACTCACCCACTCTCCCACCCACTCTCCCACCCACTCACCCACCCACTCACCACTCACTCTCTCTCTCACCCACTCACTCACCCACTCACTCACCCACTCACCCACTCACTCTCTCTCTCACCCACTCACTCACCCACTCACTCACCCACTCACTCTCTCACTCTCTCACTCACTCACCCACTCACCCACTCTCTCTCTCACTCTCTCACCCACTCACACACTCACTCACCCACCCTCTCACCCACTCACTCTCTCACCCCTCAACTCACCACGGACGTGGCCAGGTTCTCCAGGTAGATGGACAGGGCAGCCTCCACCGCCCCACCGCCAGGCACCACCGCTCGGGACTCCACCACTCTCACTCACTCACTCACCACTCACTCACCCACTCACTCTCTCACCCACCCACTCTCTCACCCACCCACTCACCCACTCACTCACTCACCCTCTCACTCACTCACCCACCCACTCACTCACCCACTCACCCACTCACTCACTCACCCACTCACTCACCCACTCACTCACCCACTCACTCTCCCACCCACTCACCCACTCACTCACCCACCCACCCACCCACTCACTCACCCACCCACCCACCCACTCACTCACCCACCCACTCACTCTCCCAAGCTCTCACTCTCTCACCCACCCTCTCACTCACCCACTCACCACTCACCCCCTCACCTCACCCCCCCACTCACCACGGACGTGGCCAGGTTCTCCAGGTAGATGGACAGGGCAGCCTCCACCGCCCCACCGCCAGGCACCACCGCTCGGGACTCCACCACTCTCACTCACTCACTCACCACTCACTCACTCACTCACCACTCACTCACCACTCACTCACTCACCCACTCACTCTCTCTCTCACTCACTCACCCACCTACTCACTCACACACCACTCGCTCACTCATTCACTCACTCACTCACTCACCCACCCACTCACTCACCCACTCTCCCACCCACTCTCCCACCCACTCACCCACCCACTCACCACTCACTCTCTCTCTCACCCACTCACTCACCCACTCACCCACTCACTCTCTCACTCTCTCACTCACTCACCCACTCACCCACTCACTCACCCACTCACTCACCCACTCACACACTCACTCACCCACCCTCTCACCCACTCACTCTCTCACCCCTCAACTCACCACGGACGTGGCCAGGTTCTCCAGGTAGATGGACAGGGCAGCCTCCACCGCCCCACCGCCAGGCACCACCGCTCGGGACTCCACCACTCTCACTCACTCACTCACCACTCACTCACTCACTCACCACTCACTCACCACTCACTCACTCACCACTCTCTCACCCACCCACTCACTCACCCACCCACTCACTCACTCACCCACCCACTCACTCACCCACCCACTCACTCACCCACCCACTCTCTCACCCACCCACTCACTCACCCACCCACCCACTCACCCACTCACTCTCTCACTCACTCACCCACTCACCCACTCACTCACCCACTCACTCACCCACTCACACACTCACTCACCCACCCTCTCACCCACACACTCTCTCACCCCTCAACTCACCACGGACGTGGCCAGGTTCTCCAGGTAGATGGACAGGGCAGCCTCCACCGCCCCACCGCCAGGCACCACCGCTCGGGACTCCACCACTCTCACTCACTCACTCACCACTCACTCACCCACTCACTCTCTCACTCTCTCTCTCACTCACTCACCCACCTACTCACTCACCCACTCACTCACTCACCCACCCACTCTCTCACCCACCCACTCACTCTCTCACCCACTCACACACTCACCACTCACCACTCACTCACCACTCACTCACTCTCTCACCACTCTCTCACCCACTCACTCACTCACCCACCCACTCACTCACCCACCCACCCACTCACTCACCCACCCACTCACTCACTCACCCACCCTCTCACCCACTCACTCTCTCACCCCTCAACTCACCACGGACGTGGCCAGGTTCTCCAGGTAGATGGACAGGGCAGCCTCCACCGCCCCACCGCCAGGCACCACCGCTCGGGACTCCACCACTCTCACTCACTCACTCACCACTCACTCACACACTCTCACACTCACCACTCACTCACTCACCACTCACTCACTCACCCACTCACTCTCTCTCTCACTCACTCACCCACCTACTCACTCACACACCACTCGCTCACTCATTCACTCACTCACTCACTCACCCACCCACTCACTCACCCACTCTCCCACCCACTCTCCCACCCACTCACCCACCCACTCACCACTCACTCTCTCTCTCACCCACTCACTCACCCACTCACTCACCCACTCACCCACTCACTCTCTCACTCTCTCACTCTCTCACCCACCCACACACTCACTCACCCACCCTCTCACCCACTCACTCTCTCACCCCTCAACTCACCACGGACGTGGCCAGGTTCTCCAGGTAGATGGACAGGGCAGCCTCCACCGCCCCACCGCCAGGCACCACCGCTCGGGACTCCACCACTCTCACTCACTCACTCACCACTCACTCACCCACTCACTCTCTCTCTCTCACTCACTCACCCACCCACTCACTCACCCACTCACCCACTCACTCACTCACCCACTCACTCACCCACTCACTCACCCACTCACTCTCCCACCCACTCACCCACTCACTCACCCACCCACCCACTCACTCACCCACCCACCCACCCACTCACTCACCCACCCACTCACTCTCCCAAGCTCTCACTCTCTCACCCACCCTCTCACTCACCCACTCACCACTCACCCCCTCACCTCACCCCCCCACTCACCACGGACGTGGCCAGGTTCTCCAGGTAGATGGACAGGGCAGCCTCCACCGCCCCACCGCCAGGCACCACCGCTCGGGACTCCACCACTCTCACTCACTCACTCACCACTCACTCACCCACTCACTCTCTCACCCACTCACCCACTCACTCTCTCACTCACTCACCCACTCACCCACTCACTCACTCTCTCACTCTCCCACTCACTCACTCACCCACTCACCCACTCACCCCCTCAACTCACCACGGACGTGGCCAGGTTCTCCAGGTAGATGGACAGGGCAGCCTCCACCGCCCCACCCCCAGGCACCACCGCTCGGGACTCCACCACTCTCACTCACTCACTCACCACTCACTCACACACTCTCACACTCACCACTCACTCACTCACCCACTCTCTCACCCACCCTCCCACCCACTCTCCCACCCACTCACCCACCCACTCACTCTCTCACCCACTCACCCACTCACTCACCCACCCACTCACTCACCCACCCACTCACCCACTCACTCACTCACCCACCCACTCTCTCACCCACCCACTCACTCTCTCACCCACTCACACACTCACTCACCCACCCTCTCACCCACTCACTCTCTCACCCCTCAACTCACCACGGACGTGGCCAGGTTCTCCAGGTAGATGGACAGGGCAGCCTCCACCGCCCCCACCGCCAGGCACCACCGCTCGGGACTCCACCACTCTCACTCACTCACTCACCACTCACTCACCCACTCACTCTCTCTCTCACTCACTCACCCACCTACTCACTCACACACCACTCGCTCACTCATTCACTCACTCACTCACCCACCCACTCACTCACCCACTCTCCCACCCACTCTCCCACCCACTCACCCACCCACTCACCACTCACTCTCTCTCTCACCCACTCACTCACCCACTCACTCACCCACTCACCCACTCACTCTCTCACTCACTCACCCACTCACCCACTCACTCACCCACTCACTCACCCACTCACACACTCACTCACCCACCCTCTCACCCACTCACTCTCTCACCCCTCAACTCACCACGGACGTGGCCAGGTTCTCCAGGTAGATGGACAGGGCAGCCTCCACCGCCCCACCGCCAGGCACCACCGCTCGGGACTCCACCACTCTCACTCACTCACTCACCACTCACTCACCCACTCACTCTCTCTCTCACTCACTCACCCACCTACTCACTCACACACCACTCGCTCACTCATTCACTCACTCACTCACCCACCCACTCACTCACCCACTCTCCCACCCACTCTCCCACCCACTCACCCACCCACTCACCACTCACTCTCTCTCTCACCCACTCACTCACCCACTCACTCACCCACTCACTCACCCACTCACTCTCTCACTCTCTCACTCACTCACCCACACACCCACTCACTCACCCACTCACTCACCCACTCACACACTCACTCACCCACCCTCTCACCCACTCACTCTCTCACCCCCCCACTCACCACGGACGTGGCCAGGTTCTCCAGGTAGATGGACAGGGCAGCCTCCACCGCCCCACCCCCAGGCACCACCGCTCGGGACTCCACCACTCTCACTCACTCACTCACCACTCACTCACCCACTCACTCTCTCTCTCACTCACTCACCCACCTACTCACTCACACACCACTCGCTCACTCATTCACTCACTCACTCACCCACCCACTCACTCACCCACTCTCCCACCCACTCTCCCACCCACTCACCCACCCACTCACCACTCACTCTCTCTCTCACCCACTCACTCACCCACTCACTCACCCACTCACTCACCCACTCACTCTCTCACTCTCTCACTCACTCACCCACACACCCACTCACTCACCCACTCACTCACCCACTCACACACTCACTCACCCACCCTCTCACCCACTCACTCTCTCACCCCCCCACTCACCACGGACGTGGCCAGGTTCTCCAGGTAGATGGACAGGGCAGCCTCCACCGCCCCACCCCCAGGCACCACCGCTCGGGACTCCACCACTCTCACTCACTCACACACCACTCACTCACACACTCTCACACTCACCACTCACTCACTCACTCACCCACTCACTCTCTCTCTCACTCACTCACCCACCTACTCACTCACACACCACTCACTCACTCATTCACTCACTCACTCACTCACCCACCCACTCACTCACCCACTCTCCCACCCACTCACCCACCCACTCACCACTCACTCTCTCTCTCACCCACTCACTCACCCACTCACTCACCCACTCACTCACCCACTCACTCTCTCACTCACTCACTCACCCACCCACTCTCTCACCCACCTACTCACTCTCTCACTCACTCACTCACCCACCCACTCTCTCACCCACCTACTCACTCTCTCACCCACTCACCCACTCACCCACTCACTCTCTCACCCACTCACCCACTCACTCACTCACCCACTCACCCACTCACTCCCTCACCCCTCAACTCACCACGGACGTGGCCAGGTTCTCCAGGTAGATGGACAGGGCAGCCTCCACCGCCCCACCCCCGGGCACCACCGCTCGGGACTCCACCACTCTCACTCACTCACTCACCACTCACTCACCCACTCACTCTCTCTCTCACCCACTCTCCCACCCACTCACCCACCCACTCACCACTCACTCTCTCTCTCACCCACTCTCTCACCCACTCACTCACCCACTCACTCTCTCACCCACTCACCCACTCACTCACCCACTCACTCACCCACCCACTCACTCACTCACCCACCCACTCACTCACCCACCCACTCTCTCTCTCACTCTCTCACCCACTCACACACTCACTCACCCACCCTCTCACCCACCCACTCTCTCACCCACCCACTCACCACGGACGTGGCCAGGTTCTCCAGGTAGATGGACAGGGCAGCCTCCACCGCCCCACCGCCAGGCACCACCGCTCGGGACTCCACCACTCTCACTCACTCACTCACCACTCACTCACCACTCACCACTCTCTCTCTCTCACTCACTCACCCACCTACTCACTCACACACCACTCGCTCACTCATTCACTCACTCACTCACTCACCCACTCACCCACTCACCCACTCACCACTCACTCTCTCTCTCACCCACTCACTCACCCACTCACTCACCCACTCACCCACTCACTCTCTCACTCTCTCACTCACTCACCCACTCACCCACTCACTCACCCACTCACTCACCCACTCACACACTCACTCACCCACCCTCTCACCCACTCACTCTCTCACCCCTCAACTCACCACGGACGTGGCCAGGTTCTCCAGGTAGATGGACAGGGCAGCCTCCACCGCCCCACCGCCAGGCACCACCGCTCGAGACTCCACCACTCTCACTCACTCACTCACCACTCACTCACACACTCTCACACTCACCACTCACTCACCCACCCACTCACTCACTCACACTCTCACCCACTCACTCACCCACTCACTCACCCACTCACACACTCACTCACCCACCCTCTCACCCACCCACTCACTCACCCCCCCACTCACCACGGACGTGGCCAGGTTCTCCAGGTAGATGGACAGGGCAGCCTCCACCGCCCCACCGCCAGGCACCACCGCTCGGGACTCCACCACTCTCACTCACTCACTCACCACTCACTCACCACTCACTCACTCACCCACCCACCCACCCACTCACTCACCCACCCACCCACTCACTCACCCACCCACCCACCCACTCACTCACCCACCCACTCACTCTCCCAAGCTCTCACTCTCTCACCCACCCACTCACTCACCCACCCACCCACCCACTCACTCACTCTCTCACCCCCCCACTCACCACGGACGTGGCCAGGTTCTCCAGGTAGATGGACAGGGCAGCCTCCACCGCCCCACCGCCAGGCACCACCGCTCGAGACTCCACCACTCTCCGCACCACACAGAGGGCGTCATGAACGGCACGCTCCACCTCGTCACACGCAGAGTCGTTCGGCCCACGCAGGATGAGAGACGCGCATGGGCGGGCACGGGTACTGGGTGGGGGAGGAGAGGGGGAGAGGGGGAGAGAGGGTAGGAGTGAGTGGGTGGGTGAGTGGGTGAGTTGGTGGGTGAGAGAGTTGGTGGGTGAGTGAGTGGGTGAGTGGGTGGGTGAGTGTGTGGGTGGGTGGGTGAGTGAGTTGGTGGATCGGTGAGTGGATGAGTGAGTGGGTGAGTGAGTTGGTGGATCGGTGAGTGGATGAGTGAGTGAGTTGGTGGATCGGTGAGTGAGTGGGTGAGTGAGTTGGTGGATCGGTGAGTGAGTGAGTGGGTGAGTGGGTGGGTGAGTGAGTGAGTGGGTGAGTGAGTTGGTGGATCGGTGAGTGGATGAGTGAGTGGGTGAGTGAGTTGGTGGATCGGTGAGTGGATGAGTGAGTGAGTTGGTGGATCGGTGAGTGAGTGGGTGAGTGAGTTGGTGGATCGGTGAGTGAGTGTGTGGGTGGGTGAGTGGGTGGGCGAGTGAGTTTGCCGAGTGAGTGGGTGAGTGAGTGGATGAGTGTGTGGGTGGGTGAGTGAGTGGGTGGGTGAGTGAGTGGGTGAGTGAGTGGGTGAGTGAGTTGGTGGATCGGTGAGTGGATGAGTGAGTGAGTTGGTGGATCGGTGAGTGAGTGGGTGAGTGAGTTGGTGGATCGGTGAGTGAGTGAGTGGGTGAGTGAGTTGGTGGATCGGTGAGTGAGTGAGTGGGTGAGTGAGTTGGTGGATCGGTGAGTGAGTGAGTGGGTGAGTGAGTTGGTGGATCGGTGAGTGAGTGTGTGGGTGGGTGAGTGGGTGGGCGAGTGAGTTTGCCGAGTGAGTGGGTGAGTGAGTGGATGAGTGTGTGGGTGGGTGAGTGAGTGGGTGGGTGAGTGAGTGGGTGAGAGAGTGGGCGAGTGAGTGAGTGAGTGGATGAGTGTGTGGGTGGATGAGTGGGTGGGTGGGTGAGTGAGTTGGTGGATAGGTGAGTGAGTGGGTGGATCAGTGAGTGAGTGGGTGGATGAGTGGGTTGAGTGAGTGGATGGGTGAATGGGTGGATGAGTGGGTGAGTGGGTGAGTGAGTGGGTGAGTGGGTGGGTGGGTGAGAGAGTGGGTGGGTTGGTGAGTGAGTGGGTGAGTGAGTGGATGAGTGGGTGAGAGAGTGGGTGAGAGAGTGGGTGAGAAATATGTGGGTGAGAGGGTGAGTAAGGGTGAGTGGGTTAGTGGTGGGTGAGCGAGTGGGTGAGTGAGTGGGTGGGTTAGTGGGTGAGTGAGTTGGTGGATCGGTGAGTGGATGAGTGAGTGGGTGAGTGAGTTGTTGGATCGGTGAGTGGATGAGTGAGTGGGTGAGTGAGTTGGTGGATCGGTGAGTGAGTGGGTGAGTGAGTGAGTTGGTGGATCGGTGAGTGAGTGAGTGAGTGGGTGAGTGGATGAGTGTGTGGGTGGGTGAGTGGGTGGGCGAGTGAGTGGGCGAGTGTGTGGGTGGGTGAGTGAGTGGGTGGGTGAGTGAGTGGGTGAGAGAGTGGGCGAGTGAGTGAGTGAGTGGATGAGTGTGTGGGTGGATGAGTGAGTGGGTGGGTGGGTGAGTTGGTGGATAGGTGAGTGAGTGGGTGGATCAGTGAGTGAGTGGGTGAGTGAGTGGGTGGATGCGTGGGTTTAGTGAGTGGATGAGTGAGTGGATGGGTGAGTGGGTGGATGAGTGGGTGAGTGGGTGAGTGAGTGGGTGAGTGGGTGGGTGGGTGAGTGAGTGGGTGAGTGAGTGGATGAGTGGGTGAGAGAGTGGGTGAGAGAGTGGGTGAGAAATATGTGGGTGAGAGGGTGAGTAAGGGTGAGTGGGTTAGTGGTGGGTGAGCGAGTGGGTGAGTGAGTGGGTGGGTGAGTTAGTGGGTGAGAGAGTGGGCGAGTGAGTGGGTGAGTGAGTGGATGAGTGTGTGGGTGGGTGAGTGAGTGGGTGGGTGAGTGAGTGGGTGGGTGAGTGAGTGGGTGAGAGAGTGGGCGAGTGAGTGTGTGAGTGAGTGGATGAGTGAGTGGATGAGTGAGAGAGTGGGTGGATGAGTGGGTGGGTGAGTGGGTGGGTGGGTGAGAGAGTGGGTGAGAGAGTGGGTGAGAAATATGTGGGTGAGAGGGTGAGTAAGGGTGAGTGGGTTAGTGGTGGGTGAGTGAGTGGGTGAGTGGGTGGGTGAGTTGGTGGATCGGTGAGTGGGTGAGTGGATGATTGAGTGGATTAGTGAGTGGGTGGGTTGGTGGATAGGTGAGTGAGTGGGTGAGAGAGTGGATGAGTGTGTGGGTGGGTGAGTGAGTGAGTGGGTGGGTGAGAGAGTGGGCAAGTGAGTGGGTGAGTGAGTGGATGAGTGTGTGGGTGGGTGAGTGAGTGGGTGGGTGAGTGAGTGGGTGAGAGAGTGGGCGAGTGAGTGGGTGAGTGAGTGGATGAGTGTGTGGGTGGGTGAGTGAGTGGGTGGGTGAGAGAGTGGGCGAGTGGGTGGGTGAGTTGGTGGATCGGTGAGTGGGTGAGTGGATGATTGAGTGGATTAGTGAGTGGGTGGGTTGGTGGATAGGTGAGTGGGTGAGAGAGTGGATGAGTGTGTGGGTGGGTGAGTGAGTGGGTGGGTGAGAGAGTGGGCGAGTGAGTGGGTGAGTGGATGAGTGTGTGGGTGGGTGAGTGAGTGGGTGGGTGAGTGAGTGGGTGAGAGAGTGGGCGATTGAGTGGGTGAGTGAGTGGATGAGTGTGTGGGTGGGTGAGTGAGTGGGTGGGTGAGAGAGTGGGCAAGTGAGTGAGTGAGTGGATGAGTGTGTGGGTGGGTGAGTGAGTGGGTGGGTGAGTGGTTGATTGAGTGGATGAGTGTGTGGGTGGGTGAGTGAGTGGGTGGGTGAGTTAGTGGGTGGTTGAGTGGGTGAGTGAGTGGGTGAGTGAGTGGGTGGATGAGTGGGTGGGTGAGTGAGTGGATGGGTGAATGGGTGAGTGGATCGGTGAGTGAGTGGATGAGTGAGTTAGTGGATCGGTGAGTGGGTGAGTGGATGAGTGAGTGGATGAGTGAGTGGATGAGTGAGTGGGTGAGTTGGTGGATAGGTGAGTGAGTGGGTGAGAGAGTGGGCGAGTGAGTGTGTGAGTGAGTGGATGAGTGAGTGGATGAGTGAGAGAGTGGGTGGATGAGTGGGTGGATGAGTGGGTGGGTGAGTGGGTGGGTAGGTGAGAGAGTGGGTGAGAGAGTGGGTGAGAAATATGTGGGTGAGAGGGTGAGTAAGGGTGAGTGGGTTAGTGGTGGGTGAGTGAGTGGGTGAGTGGGTGGGTGAGTTGGTGGATCGGTGAGTGAGTGAGTGGGTGAGTGAGTTGGTGGATCGGTGAGTGAGTGTGTGGGTGGGTGAGTGGGTGGGCGAGTGAGTTTGCCGAGTGAGTGGGTGAGTGAGTGGATGAGTGTGTGGGTGGGTGAGTGAGTGGGTGGGTGAGTGAGTGGGTGAGAGAGTGGGCGAGTGAGTGAGTGAGTGGATGAGTGTGTGGGTGGATGAGTGGGTGGGTGGGTGGGTGAGTTGGTGGATAGGTGAGTGAGTGGGTGGATCAGTGAGTGAGTGGGTGGATGAGTGGGTTGAGTGAGTGGATGGGTGAATGGGTGGATGAGTGGGTGAGTGGGTGAGTGAGTGGGTGAGTGGGTGGGTGGGTGAGAGAGTGGGTGGGTTGGTGAGTGAGTGGGTGAGTGAGTGGATGAGTGGGTGAGAGAGTGGGTGAGAGAGTGGGTGAGAAATATGTGGGTGAGAGGGTGAGTAAGGGTGAGTGGGTTAGTGGTGGGTGAGCGAGTGGGTGAGTGAGTGGGTGGGTTAGTGGGTGAGTGAGTTGGTGGATCGGTGAGTGGATGAGTGAGTGGGTGAGTGAGTTGTTGGATCGGTGAGTGGATGAGTGAGTGGGTGAGTGAGTTGGTGGATCGGTGAGTGAGTGGGTGAGTGAGTGAGTTGGTGGATCGGTGAGTGAGTGAGTGAGTGGGTGAGTGGATGAGTGTGTGGGTGGGTGAGTGGGTGGGCGAGTGAGTGGGCGAGTGTGTGGGTGGGTGAGTGAGTGGGTGGGTGAGTGAGTGGGTGAGAGAGTGGGCGAGTGAGTGAGTGAGTGGATGAGTGTGTGGGTGGATGAGTGAGTGGGTGGGTGGGTGAGTTGGTGGATAGGTGAGTGAGTGGGTGGATCAGTGAGTGAGTGGGTGAGTGAGTGGGTGGATGCGTGGGTTTAGTGAGTGGATGAGTGAGTGGATGGGTGAATGGGTGGATGAGTGGGTGAGTGGGTGAGTGAGTGGGTGAGTGGGTGGGTGGGTGAGTGAGTGGGTGAGTGAGTGGATGAGTGGGTGAGAGAGTGGGTGAGAGAGTGGGTGAGAAATATGTGGGTGAGAGGGTGAGTAAGGGTGAGTGGGTTAGTGGTGGGTGAGCGAGTGGGTGAGTGAGTGGGTGGGTGAGTTAGTGGGTGAGAGAGTGGGCGAGTGAGTGGATGAGTGTGTGGGTGGGTGAGTGAGTGGGTGGGTGAGTGAGTGGGTGGGTGAGTGAGTGGGTGAGAGAGTGGGCGAGTGAGTGTGTGAGTGAGTGGATGAGTGAGTGGATGAGTGAGAGAGTGGGTGGATGAGTGGGTGGGTGAGTGGGTGGGTGGGTGAGAGAGTGGGTGAGAGAGTGGGTGAGAAATATGTGGGTGAGAGGGTGAGTAAGGGTGAGTGGGTTAGTGGTGGGTGAGTGAGTGGGTGAGTGGGTGGGTGAGTTGGTGGATCGGTGAGTGGGTGAGTGGATGATTGAGTGGATTAGTGAGTGGGTGGGTTGGTGGATAGGTGAGTGAGTGGGTGAGAGAGTGGATGAGTGTGTGGGTGGGTGAGTGAGTGAGTGGGTGGGTGAGAGAGTGGGCGAGTGAGTGGGTGAGTGAGTGGATGAGTGTGTGGGTGGGTGAGTGAGTGGGTGGGTGAGTGAGTGGGTGAGAGAGTGGGCGAGTGAGTGGGTGAGTGAGTGGATGTGTGTGTGGGTGGGTGAGTGAGTGGGTGGGTGAGAGAGTGGGCGAGTGGGTGGGTGAGTTGGTGGATCGGTGAGTGGGTGAGTGGATGATTGAGTGGATTAGTGAGTGGGTGGGTTGGTGGATAGGTGAGTGGGTGAGAGAGTGGATGAGTGTGTGGGTGGGTGAGTGAGTGGGTGGGTGAGAGAGTGGGCGAGTGAGTGGGTGAGTGGATGAGTGTGTGGGTGGGTGAGTGAGTGGGTGGGTGAGTGAGTGGGTGAGAGAGTGGGCGATTGAGTGGGTGAGTGAGTGGATGAGTGTGTGGGTGGGTGAGTGAGTGGGTGGGTGAGAGAGTGGGCAAGTGAGTGAGTGAGTGGATGAGTGTGTGGGTGGGTGAGTGAGTGGGTGGGTGAGTGGTTGATTGAGTGGATGAGTGTGTGGGTGGGTGAGTGAGTGGGTGGGTGAGTTAGTGGGTGGTTGAGTGGGTGAGTGAGTGGGTGAGTGAGTGGGTGGATGAGTGGGTGGGTGAGTGAGTGGATGGGTGAATGGGTGAGTGGATCGGTGAGTGAGTGGATGAGTGAGTTAGTGGATCGGTGAGTGGGTGAGTGGATGAGTGAGTGGATGAGTGAGTGGATGAGTGAGTGGGTGAGTTGGTGGATAGGTGAGTGAGTGGGTGAGAGAGTGGGCGAGTGAGTGTGTGAGTGAGTGGATGAGTGAGTGGATGAGTGAGAGAGTGGGTGGATGAGTGGGTGGATGAGTGGGTGGGTGAGTGGGTGGGTAGGTGAGAGAGTGGGTGAGAGAGTGGGTGAGAAATATGTGGGTGAGAGGGTGAGTAAGGGTGAGTGGGTTAGTGGTGGGTGAGTGAGTGGGTGAGTGGGTGGGTGAGTTGGTGGATCGGTGAGTGGGTGAGTGGATGATTGAGTGGATTAGTGAGTGGGTGGGTTGGTGGATAGGTGAGTGAGTGGGTGAGAGGGTGGATGAGTGTGTGGGTGGGTGAGTGAGTGAGTGGGTGGGTGAGAGAGTGGGCGAGTGAGTGGGTGAGTGAGTGGATGAGTGTGTGGGTGGGTGAGTGAGTGGGTGGGTGAGTGAGTGGGTGAGAGAGTGGGCGAGTGAGTGGGTGAGTGAGTGGATGAGTGTGTGGGTGGGTGAGTGAGTGGGTGGGTGAGAGAGTGGGTGAGTGGGTGGGTGAGTTGGTGGATCGGTGAGTGGGTGAGTGGATGATTGAGTGGATTAGTGAGTGGGTGGGTTGGTGGATAGGTGAGTGGGTGAGAGAGTGGATGAGTGTGTGGGTGGGTGAGTGAGCGGGTGGGTGAGAGAGTGGGCGAGTGAGTGGGTGAGTGGATGAGTGTGTGGGTGGGTGAGTGAGTGGGTGGGTGAGTGAGTGGGTGAGAGAGTGGGCGATTGAGTGGGTGAGTGAGTGGATGAGTGTGTGGGTGGGTGAGTGAGTGGGTGGGTGAGAGAGTGGGCAAGTGAGTGAGTGAGTGGATGAGTGTGTGGGTGGGTGAGTGAGTGGGTGGGTGAGTGGTTGATTGAGTGGATGAGTGTGTGGGTGGGTGAGTGAGTGGGTGGGTGAGTTAATGGGTGGTTGAGTGGGTGAGTGAGTGGGTGAGTGAGTGGGTGGATGAGTGGGTGAGTGGGTGGGTGAGTGAGTGGATGGGTGAATGGGTGAGTGGATCGGTGAGTGAGTGGATGAGTGAGTTAGTGGATCGGTGAGTGGGTGAGTGGATGAGTGAGTGGATGAGTGAGTGGGTGGGTGAGTTGGTGGATAGGTGAGTGAGTGGGTGAGAGAGTGGGCGAGTGAGTGGGTGAGTGAGTGGATGAGTGAGTGGGTGGGTGAGAGAGTGGGTGGATGGGTGGGTGAGTGAGTGGATGAGTGGGTGGGTGGGTGAGAGAGTGGGTGAGAGAGTGGGTGGATGAGTGGGTGGGTGGGTGAGTGAGTGGATGGGTGAATGGGTGAGTGGATCGGTGAGTGAGTGGATGAGTGAGTTAGTGGATCGGTGAGTGGGTGAGTGGATGAGTGAGTGGATGAGTGAGTGGGTGGGTGAGTTGGTGGATAGGTGAGTGAGTGGGTGAGAGAGTGGGCGAGTGAGTGGGTGAGTGAGTGGATGAGTGAGTGGATAGGTGAGTGAGTGGGTGAGAGAGTGGGTGAGCGAGTGGGTGAGAGAGTGGGTGAGAAATATGTGGGTGAGAGGGTGAGTAAGGGTGAGTGGGTTAGTGGTGGGTGAGTGGGTGAGTGACTGAGTGGGTGGGTGGATGAGTGAGTGAGTGGGTGAGTGGATGAGTGAGTGGGTGGGTGAGTGAGCGCGTGGGTGAGTGGGTGGATGAGTGAGTGAGTGGGTGAGCGCGTGGGTGAGTGAGTGAGTGGGTGAGTGAGTGGGTGAGTGAGTGGGAGAGTGATTGAGAGGGTGATTGAGAGGGTGAGAGAGTGGGAGAGTGAGAGAGTGAGTGGGTGGGTGAGTGAGAGAGTGAGTGGGTGAGAGGGTGGGTGAGTGGGTGAGCGCGTGAGTGAGCGAGTGGATGAGTGAGTGGGTGAGCGTGTGGGTGAGCGGGTGACTGAGCTAGTGGATGAGTGAGTGAGTGGGTGAGTGAGTAGATGAGTGGGTGAGTGAGCGGATGAGTGAGTGGGTGAGCGCGTGGATGAGTGAGTGAGTGGATGAGTGAGTGGATGAGTGAGTGGGTGAGCGTGTGGGTGAGCGGGTGATTGAGCTAGTGGATGAGTGAGTGAGTGGGTGAGTGGTTCAGTGAGTGGTTGAGTGAGTAGATGAGTGAGTAGATGAGTGAGTGAGTGGGTGAGTGAGTAGATGAGTGAGTGAGCGAGTGGATGAGTGAGTGGGTGAGCGTGTGGGTGAGTGAGTGAGTGAGCGTGTGGATGAGCGGGTGACTGAGCTAGTGGATGAGTGAGCGGGTGACTGAGCTAGTGGATGAGTGGATGAGTGAGTAGCTGAGTGAGTGGGTGAGCGCGTGAGTGAGCGAGTGGGTGAGCGTGTGGATGAGTGAGTGAGTGGTTGAGTGAGTGGGTGAGCGAGTGGGTGAGCGAGTGGGTGAGCGGGTGGGTGAGCGAGTGGATGAGTGGGTGAGCGAGTGGATGAGCGAGTGGATGAGTGAGTGAGTGGATGAGTGGATGAGTGAGCGGGTGAGCGAGTGGATGAGCGGGTGACTAACTTCTTGACGAGCAGCAGCTCGTCGTCACAGACGCGCTCCTGCACGACCTCCTCAGCGTGGCCGAGCAGAGCGGCGTCAAAGCTCTCATCACCCTCGAGGTTGGCGAGGGTGGAGCACACCGAGCCTACCGGGGGTGGCACAAACACCCGGCTCAGATAGTCACTCAGTCAGTCACTCAGTCAGTCACTCAGTCAGTCACTCAGTCAGTCACTCAGTCACTCAGTCAGTCACTCAGTCAGTCAGTCACTCAGTCAGTCAGTCACTCAGTCACTCAGTCAGTCAGTCACTCAGTCAGTCACTCAGTCAGTCAAAGCTCTCATCACCCTCGAGGTTGGCGAGGGTGGAGCACACCGAGCCTACCGGGGGTGGCACAAACACCCGGCTCAGATAGTCACTCAGTCAGTCAGTCACTCAGTCAGTCAGTCACTCAGTCAGTCACTCAGTCAGTCACTCAGTCACTCAGTCAGTCAGTCAGTCACTCAGTCAGTCAGTCACTCAGTCAGTCAGTCAGTCAGTCACTCAGTCAGTCAAAGCTCTCATCACCCTCGAGGTTGGCGAGGGTGGAGCACACCGAGCCTACCGGGGGTGGCACAAACACCCGGCTCAGATAGTCACTCAGTCAGTCACTCAGTCAGTCAGTCAGTCAGTCACTCAGTCAGTCACTCACTCAGTCACTCACTCACTCACTCAGTCACTAACTCAGTCACTCACTCAGTCACTCACTCAGTCACTCACTCAGTCTCTCACTCAGTCTCTCACTCAGTCACTCACTCAGTCACTCACTCAGTCACTCACTCACTCAGTCACTCACTCAGTCACTCAGTCAGTCACTCAGTCACTCAGTCAGTCACTCACTCAGTCAGTCACTCAGTCACTCAGTCAGTCAGTCACTTAGTCAGTCACTCAGTCAGTCAAAGCTCTCATCACCCTCGAGGTTGGCGAGGGTGGAGCACACCGAGCCTACCGGGGGTGGCACAAACACCCGGCTCAGATAGTCACTCAGTCAGTCACTCAGTCACTCACTCAGTCACTCAGTCAGTCACTCAGTCAGTCAGTCACTCAGTCACTCACTCAGTCACTCAGTCAGTCACTCAGTCAGTCAGTCAGTCACTCAGTCAGTCAAAGCTCTCATCACCCTCGAGGTTGGCGAGGGTGGAGCACACCGAGCCTACCGGGGTGGCACAAACACCCGGCTCAGATAGTCACTCAGTCAGTCACTCACTCATACACTCACTTACTCACTTACTCACTCAGTCACTCAGTCAGTCACTCAGTCACTCAGTCAGTCACTCACTCAGTCAGTCACTCAGTCACTCAGTCAGTCAGTCACTTAGTCAGTCACTCAGTCAGTCAAAGCTCTCATCACCCTCGAGGTTGGCGAGGGTGGAGCACACCGAGCCTACCGGGGGTGGCACAAACACCCGGCTCAGATAGTCACTCAGTCAGTCACTCAGTCACTCACTCAGTCACTCAGTCAGTCACTCAGTCAGTCAGTCACTCAGTCACTCACTCAGTCACTCAGTCAGTCACTCAGTCAGTCAGTCAGTCACTCAGTCAGTCAAAGCTCTCATCACCCTCGAGGTTGGCGAGGGTGGAGCACACCGAGCCTACCGGGGGTGGCACAAACACCCGGCTCAGATAGTCACTCAGTCAGTCACTCAGTCAGTCACTCAGTCAGTCACTCAGTCAGTCACTCAGTCAGTCACTCAGTCACTCAGTCAGTCAGTCACTCAGTCAGTCACTCACTCAGTCACTCAGTCAGTCAGTCAGTCAGTCACTCAGTCAGTCAGTCACTCAGTCAGTCACTCAGTCAGTCAAAGCTCTCATCACCCTCGAGGTTGGCGAGGGTGGAGCACACCGAGCCTACCGGGGGTGGCACAAACACCCGGCTCAGATAGTCAGTCACTCAGTCAGTCACTCACTCAGTCAGTCACTCAGTCAGTCAGTCAGTCACTCAGTCAGTCACTCAGTCAGTCAGTCACTCAGTCAGTCACTCAGTCAGTCACTCAGTCAGTCACTCAGTCAGTCAGTCACTCAGTCACTCACTCAGTCAGTCACTCAGTCAGTCACTCAGTCAGTCAGTCACTCAGTCAGTCAGTCACTCAGTCAGTCAGTCACTCAGTCAGTCACTCACTCAGTCACTCAGTCAGTCAGTCAGTCACTCAGTCAGTCACTCAGTCAGTCAGTCAGTCACTCAGTCAGTCAAAGCTCTCATCACCCTCGAGGTTGGCGAGGGTGGAGCACACCGAGCCTACCGGGGGTGGCACAAACACCCGGCTCAGATAGTCACTCACTCAGTCAGTCACTCAGTCAGTCACTCAGTCAGTCAGTCACTCAGTCAGTCAGTCACTCAGTCAGTCACTCAGTCAGTCAGTCACTCAGTCAGTCAGTCACTCAGTCAGTCAAAGCTCTCATCACCCTCGAGGTTGGCGAGGGTGGAGCACACCGAGCCTACCGGGGGTGGCACAAACACCCGGCTCAGATAGTCACTCAGTCACTCAGTCAGTCACTCAGTCAGTCAGTCAGTCACTCAGTCACTCAGTCAGTCACTCAGTCAGTCACTCAGTCAGTCAGTCACTCAGTCAGTCAGTCAGTCACTCACTCAGTCAGTCACTCAGTCAGTCAAAGCTCTCATCACCCTCGAGGTTGGCGAGGGTGGAGCACACCGAGCCTACCGGGGGTGGCACAAACACCCGGCTCAGATAGTCACTCAGTCAGTCACTCAGTCAGTCAGTCACTCAGTCACTCAGTCACTCAGTCAGTCACTCAGTCACTCAGTCACTCAGTCAGTCAGTCAGTCACTCAGTCAGTCAGTCAGTCACTCAGTCAGTCAAAGCTCTCATCACCCTCGAGGTTGGCGAGGGTGGAGCACACCGAGCCTACCGGGGGTGGCACAAACACCCGGCTCAGATAGTCACTCAGTCAGTCACTCAGTCAGTCAGTCAGTCACTCAGTCACTCAGTCAGTCACTCAGTCAGTCAGTCAGTCACTCAGTCAGTCAGTCAGTCACTCAGTCAGTCAGTCACTCAGTCAGTCACTCAGTCACTCAGTCAGTCAAAGGTCTCATCACCCTCGAGGTTGGCGAGGGTGGAGCACACCGAGCCTACCGGGGGTGGCACAAACACCCGGCTCAGATACTCACTCAGTCAGTCACTCAGTCAGTCACTCAGTCAGTCAGTCAGTCACTCAGTCACTCAGTCACTCACTCACACACTCAGTCACTCAGTCACTCACTCACTCACCCACCACTCACTCACTCAGTCACTCACTCACTCAGTCACACACTCACTCAGTCACTCACACACTCACTCACACACTCAGTCACTCACTCACTCAGTCAGTCACTCACTCACTCAGTCACTCAGTCACTCAGTCAGTCAGTCAGTCACTCAGTCAGTCAGTCAGTCACTCAGTCAGTCAGTCACTCAGTCAGTCACTCAGTCACTCAGTCAGTCAAAGGTCTCATCACCCTCGAGGTTGGCGAGGGTGGAGCACACCGAGCCTACCGGGGGTGGCACAAACACCCGGCTCAGATACTCACTCAGTCAGTCACTCAGTCAGTCACTCAGTCAGTCAGTCAGTCACTCAGTCACTCAGTCACTCACTCACACACTCAGTCACTCAGTCACTCACTCACTCACCCACCACTCACTCACTCAGTCACTCACTCACTCAGTCACACACTCACTCAGTCACTCACACACTCACTCACACACTCAGTCACTCACTCACTCAGTCAGTCACTCACTCACTCAGTCACTCAGTCACTCACTCACTCACACACTCAGTCACTAACACATTTACTCACTCAGTCACCCACCCACCCACCATCTCACCCACTCACTCACTCACCCACCCACCATCCCACCCACCCACCATCCCACCCACCCACCCACCTCCGCTGGCCTTAGCGATGCGCTTCAGGTCACGTAGCAGCACCCTCCTGACCCCCATGACCCCGGCCTCGGCCAGCAGGCGGATGTTCTCATCGTCCATGACTCCCGTCCACCCTCCCTCTCACCCACTCACTCACTCAGTCACTCACTCACTCAGTCACTCACTCACTCACTCAGTCACTCAGTCACTCAGTCACACACTAACTCACTCAGTCACTCACTCACTCAGTCAGTCACTCACTCACACAGTCACTCACTCAGTCATCCACTCACTCAGTCACACACTCACTCACTCAGTCAGTCACTCAGTCACTCACACACTCTCTCACTCACACAGTCACTCACCCACTCACTCAGTCACTCACTCACTCAGTCACTCACCCACCCACCCACCATCCCACCCACCCACCCACCTCCGCTGGCCTTAGCGATGCGCTTCAGGTCACGTAGCAGCACCCTCCTGACCCCCATGACCCCGGCCTCGGCCAGCAGGCGGATGTTCTCATCGTCCATGACTCCCGTCCACCCTCCCTCTTACCCACTCACTCAGTCACTCAGTCAGTCACTCACTCAGTCACTCACTCACTCAGTCACTCACTCACTCATTCACACACTCACACACTCTCTCACTCACACAGTCACTCACCCACTCACTCAGTCACTCACTCAGTGACTCACTCAGTCACACACTCAGTCACCCACCCACCCACCATCTCACCCACTCACTCACTCACCCACCCACCCACCATCTCACCCACTCACTCACTCACCCACCCACCCACCATCCCACCCACCCACCATCTCACCCACCCACCCACCTCCGCTGGCCTTAGCGATGCGCTTCAGGTCACGTAGCAGCACCCTCCTGACCCCCATGACCCCGGCCTCGGCCAGCAGGCGGATGTTCTCATCATCCATGACTCCCGTCCACCCTCCCTCTTACCCACTCACTCACTCAGTCAGTCACTCAGTCACTCACTCAGTCACTCACTCACTCAGTCACTCACTCAGTGAGTCACTCAGTCACTCACACACTCACTCATACACTCACTTACTTACTCACACACTCACTCAGTCACTCACTCACTCACACACTCTCTCACTCACACAGTTACTCACCCACTCACTCAGTCACTCACTCAGTGACTCACTCAGTCACCCACCCACCCACCATCCCACCCACCCACCCACCTCCGCTGGCCTTGGCGATGCGCTTCAGGTCACGTAGCAGCACCCTCCTGACCCCCATGACCCCGGCCTCGGCCAGCAGGCGGATGTTCTCATCGTCCATGACTCCCGTCCACCCTCCCTCTTACCCTCTCACTCACTCAGTCAGACACTCACTCACTCAGTCACTCACTCAGTCACTCAGTCACTCAAACACTCAGTCACTCAGTCACACACTCACTCAGTCAGTCACTCACTCAGTCACTCAAACACTCAGTCACTCAGTCACACACTCACTCACTCAGTCACTCACACAGTCACTCACCCACTCACTCAGTCACTCACTCAGTGACTCACTCAGTCACACACTCAGTCACCCACCCACCCACCATCTCACCCACTCACTCACTCACCCACTCACTCACTCACCCACCCACTCACTCACCCACCCACCCACCATCCCACCCACCCACCATCCCACCCACCCACCCACCTCCGCTGGCCTTAGCGATGCGCTTCAGGTCACGTAGCAGCACCCTCCTGACCCCCATGACCCCGGCCTCGGCCAGCAGGCGGATGTTCTCATCGTCCATGCCTCCCGTGGTGAGCACCACCGTGGCTCCCGCCGCTATCAGCTTCCTCACTCGCTCGGCCGCCAACTCGCTCTCCCTGCGCTCCACCGCCACAGAGTCCACCGCCGCCCACGGCGTCACGAAGTCCACCGCCAGTCACGTAGTCCACCACCATCGTCACAAAGTCCACCGCCGCCACCAGCAGTCACGTAGTCCACCGCCATCGTCACGAAGTCCACCGCCATCGTCACGAAGTCCACCACCGCCACCAGCAGTCACGTAGTCCACCGCCGCCACCAGCAGTCACGTAGTCCACCGCCGCCACCACCACCAGTCACGTAGTCCACCGCCGCCACCAACAGTCACGTAGTCCACCGCCACCACCACCAGTCACGTAGTCCACCGCCGCCACCAGCAGTCACGTAGTCCACCGCCACCACCACCAGTCACGTAGTCCACCGCCGCCGGCGTCACGTAGTCCACCACCACCACCAGTCACGTAGTCCACTACCACCAGTCACGTAGTCCACCACCAGCCGCGTAGTCCACCACCAGTCGCGTAGTCCACCACCAGCCACGTAGTCCACCACCAGTCACGTAGTCCACCACCAGTCACGTAGTCCACCACCATCGTCACGTAGTCCACCACCGCCGTGTAGTCCACCACCAGTCACGTAGTCCACCACCACACAGTCCACCACCATCGTCACGTAGTCCACCACCATCGTCACGTAGTCCACCCCACAATAGTCCACCCCCCATGACGAATGTGTCCTAGATGATCGGAGTCGGTCACCACCACCACCACCACCACAGTCAACCACACACTCAACAATCATATAGTCCACCCTGCAGTAGTCCACCCTGTAGTAGTCCACCCCACAATAGTCCACCCCACAATAGTCCACCCCACAATAGTCCACCCCACAATAGTCCACCCCACTGTAGTCCACCACCTGTGGCGGATGTGTCCGAGCTGCTCGGGGTCAGTCACCACCACCACAACCACCACCACCACCACAGTCAACCACACACTCAACAATCATATAGTCCACCCTGTAGTAGTCCACCCCGTAGTAGTCCACCCCACAATAGTCCACCTCACAATAGTCCACCCCGCAGTAGTCCACCACCTGTGGCGGATGTGTCCGAGCTGCTCGGGGTCAGTCACCACCACCTGGACTCCCAGCTTCATCTTCACACGCTGGAGGCTGAAGTCCAGCAGGGCCAAGCGAGCTGACACCACACGCTTGGGCATCGCTACAGAGTGGGGAGAGTGGGGGGGTGGGTGGGTGAGTGGGGGGGTGGGTGGGGGGGTGGGTGGGTGAGTGAGTGGGTGGGGGGGTGAGTGGGTGGGTGAGTGGGGGGGTGGGTGAGTGAGTGAGTGGGTGAGTGAGTGGGTGAGTGAATGAGTGGGCGAGTGAGTGGGTGAGCGAGTGAGTGGGTGGGCCAGTGGGTGGGTGAGTGAGTGAGTGGGTGGGTGAGTGGGTGAGTGGGTGGGTGGGTGGGTGAGTGGGTGAGTGGGTGGGTGAGTGGGTGGGGGGGTGGGTGGGTGGGTGAGTGGGTGGGTGGGAGGGTGAGTGGGGGGTGGGTGGGTGGGTGAGTGGGTGGGTGAGTGAGTGGGTGGGCCAGTGAATGGGTGAGTGGGTGAGTGAGTGAGTCGGTGAGTGAGTGAGCGGGCGGGCGAGTGGTGGACCGAGTGGTGGTGGACCCCCTTCCCTCACCCTGCGAGGCCACGGTGCAGTTGAGGGCGTATCCCACCACGAGGCGACTCTCCCGCTGGCTGCGTCCGTGGGCCTTGAGGACGCTGATGGAGGAGACGGGGCAGCGTGCACCGCCCCTGGCACTGTCCGCCTGGCGCACCGCCATCGCCGCGTCCACAACCATGGCGCCAAAAACGTCGGCGTCGCTGGCGGTGTCAAGGTGGTCTCACGGTGAGTGGTGTGTGGTGGTGGTGGTGAGCGTGGTGGTGAGTGTGTGTGGTGGTGAGCGTGGTGGTGAGTGTGGTGAGCGTGGTGGTGAGTGTGGTGGTGAGTGTGGTGGTGGTGGTGAGCGTGGTGGTGAGTGTGGTGGTGAGTGTGGTGGTGGTCTCACGGTGAGTGTGGTGTGGTGGTGGTGGTGAGCGTGGTGGTGAGTGTGGTGAGCGTGGTGGTGGTGGTGATGGTGGTGGTGGTGAGTGTGGTGGTGGTGGTGAGGGTGGTGGTGGTGGTGAGCGTGGTGGTGGTGGTGAGCGTGGTGGTGAGCGTGGTGGTGAGCGTGGTGGTGGTGGTGAGCGTGGTGGTGGTGAGCGTGGTGGTGAGCGTGGTGAGCGTGGTGGTTGTGGTGATGGTGAGCGTGGTGGTGGTGAGCGTGGTGGTGATGGTGAGCGTGGTGAGCGTGGTGGTGGTGAGTGTGGCGGTGGTGGTGGTGAGCGTGGTGGTGGTGAGCGTGGTGGTGGTGGTGGTGAGCGTGGTAGTGGTGAGCGTGGTGGTGGTGGTGGTGAGCGTGGTGGTGATGGTGAGCTTGGTGGTAGTGGTGAGCGTGGTGAGCGTGGTGGTGGTGAGCTTGGTGGTGGTGGTGAGCGTGGTGGTGGTGGTGAGCGTGGTGGTGGTGGTGGTGAGCGTGGTGGTGGTGGTGGTGAGCGTGGTGGTGGTGAGCGTGGTGGTGGTGGTGGTGAGCGTGGTGGTGATGGTGAGCTTGGTGGTAGTGGTGAGCGTGGTGAGCGTGGTGGTGGTGAGCTTGGTGGTGGTGGTGAGCGTGGTGGTGGTGGTGAGCGTGGTGGTGGTGAGCGTGGTGGTGGTGGTGGTGAGCGTGGTGGTGGTGAGCGTGGTGGTGGTGGTGGTGAGCGTGGTGGTGGTGGTGAGGGTGGTGGTGAGCGTGGTGGTGGTGAGGGTGGTGGTGGTGAGGGTGGTGGTGGTGAGCGTGGTGATGGTGGTGAGCGTGGTGGTGGTGGTGAGCGTGGTGGTGGCGGTGGTGAGCGTGGTGGTGAGCGTGGTGGTGGTGAGCGTGGTGGTGGTGGTGAGCGTGGTGGTGGTGAGCGTGGTGGTTGTGGTGAGCGTGGTGGTGGTGAGCTTGGTGGTGGTGGTGAGCGTGGTCTTGAGCGTGGTGAGCTTGGTGGTGGTGCTGAGCGTGGTGGTTGTGGTGAGCTTGGTGGTGAGCGTGGTGGTGAGCGTGGTGGTGAGCGTAGGGTGAGGATACGGTCCGATGAGTTTTGACGACATGGACGTCTGAGCGACGTTCACGGTGAGTGTGTGGTGGTGAGCGTGGTGGTGAGCGTGGTGGTGAGTGTGGTGGTTGTGGTGAGCGTGGTGGTGGTGGTGGTGAGCGTGGTGGTGGTGAGTGTGTGGTGGTGAGGGTGGTGGTGAGCGTGGTGGTGAGTGTGGTGGTGAGCGTGGTGGTGAGCGTAGGGTGAGGATACGGTCCGATGAGTTTTGACGACATGGACGTCTGAGCAACGTTCAGGGTGAGTGTGTGGTGGTGAGTGTGGTGGTGAGCGTGGTGGTGGTGGTGAGTGTGGTGGTGAGCGTGGTGGTGAGTGTGGTGGTGGTGCTGAGCGTGGTGGTGGTGGTGAGCGTGGTGGTTGTGGTGAGTGTGGTGGTGGTGAGCGTGGTGGTGAGCGTGGTGGTGAGCGTAGGGTGAGGATACGGTCTGATGAGTTTTGACGACATGGACGTCTGAGCGACGTTCACGGTGAGTGTGTGGTGGTGAGGGTGGTGGTGAGCGTGGTGGTGAGTGTGGTGGTGGTGGTGGTGAGCGTGGTGGTGGTGAGTGTGGTGGTGAGCGTGGTGGTGAGCGTGGTGGTGAGCGTAGGGTGAGGATACGGTCCGATGAGTTTTGACGACATGGACGTCTGAGCGACGTTCACGGTGAGTGTGTGGTGGTGAGGGTGGTGGTGAGCGTGGTGGTGAGTGTGGTGGTGGTGCTGAGCGTGGTGGTGAGCGTGGTGGTGAGTGTGGTGGTGGTGGTGAGCGTAGGGTGAGGATACGGTCCGATGAGTTTTGACGACATGGACGTCTGAGCGACGTTCAGGAGGATTTCCCGGCTCAGGTCGTCCACGGGCACGGTGAGATTCTCACCAATGTAGCGGACTGCCTCCCTGGGGGGGAGGGGGAGGGGGGGTGGGGGGAGGGTGGGGGGAGGGTGGGGGGAGGGTGGGGGGAGAGGGAGGGGAGTCGGTCACCAGCAATGACGGCAGTGGGTGTGTTAGTGGTGGTGATGGTTGTGTATCCGTGGTGGTGGTGGTGGTAGTGGTGGTTGTGGTGGTTGTGGTAGTGGTGGATGTGGTAGTGGTGGTTGTGGAAGTGGTGGATGTGGTAGTGGTGGATGTGGTAGTGGTGGTTGTGGTAGTGGTGGATGTGGTAGTGGTGGATGTGGTGGATGTGGTAGTGGTGGTTGTGGTAGTGGTGGATGTGGTAGTGGTGGTAGTGGTGGTTGTGTGGTAGTAGTGGATGTGGTAGTGCTGGTTGTGGTAGTGGTGGTTGTGGTAATGGTGGTTGTGGTGGTTGTGATTGTGGTAGTGGTGGATGTGGTTGTTGTGGTGGTTGTGGTAATGGTGGTAGTGGTGGTGGTTGTGGTGGTGGTTGTGGTGGTGGTTGTGGTGGTGGTTGTGGTGGTGGTGGTGGTTACCGGCAGGCGAGTCGGTAACCTGCGATGATGGACGTGGGGTGGATTCGCTGCTTCACCAACTCATCAGCATTCTTGAGCAGCTCGGCCGCCAGGATCACCTGGACAGCATCACATCGATAACCACCACGTTAACCACCACGTTAACCACCACGTTAACAACCACGTTAACAACCACGTTAACCACCACGTTAACCACCACGTTAACCACCACGTTAACAACCACGTTAACAACCACGTTAACCACCACGTTAACAACCACGTTAACAACCACGTCAACCACCACGTTAACCACCACGTTAACCACCTCGTTAACCACCACGTTAACAACCACGTTAACCACCACGTTAACCACCACGTTAACAACCTCGTTAACCACCACGTTAACCACCACGTTAACCACCACGTTAACCACCTCGTTAACCACCTCGTCAACCACCACGTTAACAACCACGTTAACATCCACGTTAACCACCTCGTTAACCACCACGTTAACCACCACGTTAACCACCACGTTAACCACCTCGTCAACCACCACGTTAACAACCACATTAACCACCACGTTAACCACCTAGTTAACAACCACGTTAACAACCACGTTAACCACCACGTTAACCACCACGTTAACCACCACGTTAACCACCTCGTTAACCACCACGTTAACAACCTCGTTAACCACCACGTTAACCACCACGTTAACCACCACGTTAACCACCACGTTAATCACCACGTTAACCACCACGTTAACCACCACGTTAACAACCACGTCAACCACCACGTTAACCACCTCGTTAACCACCACGTTAACCACCACGTTAACCACCACGTTAACAACCACGTTAACCACCTCGTTAACAACCACGTTAACCACCACGTTAACCACCACTTTAACAACCACGTTAACAACCACGTTAACCACCACGTTAACAACCACGTTAACCACCACGTTAACCACCACGTTAACCACCACGTTAACAACCACGTTAATCACCACGTTAATCACCACGTTAACCACCTCGTTAACCACCTCGTTAACCACCACGTTAACCACCACGTTAACCACCACGTTAACCACCACGTTAACCACCTCGTTAACCACCACGTTAACCACCACGTTAACCACCACGTTAACCACCACGTTAACCACCTCGTTAACCACCACGTTAACCACCACGCTAACTACCACGTTAACAACCACGTTAACCACCTCGTTAACCACCACGTTAACCACCACGTTAACCACCACGTTAACAACCACGTCAACAACCACATTAACCACCACGTTAACAACCACGTTAACCACCACGTTAACAACCACGTTAACCACCACGTTAACAACCACGTTAACCACCACGTTAACCACCACGTTAACCACCACGTTAACCACCTCGTTAACCACCACTTTAACCACCTCGTTAACCACCACGTTAACCACCACGTTAACAACCACGTTAACCACCACGTTAACCACCACGTTAACCACCACGTTAACAACCTCGTTAACCACCACGTTAACCACCTCGTTAACCACCACGTTAACAACCTCGTTAACCACCACGTTAACCACCACGTTAACAACCACGTTAACCACCACGTTAACAACCACGTTAACCACCTCGTTAACCACCTCGTTAACCACCACGTTAACCACACCACTACCACCACACCACTACCACCACCACCACATTACCCACCACATTAACCACCACGACCATCACCCCACCCATAAAACCACCACCGCAATCGTCACCACCACGGGATGACTACCCCAGATGTCCACCACATGACCGTGTGGTGTGGTTGACTACCCCCGGCTGTCCACCACTCACCACAGAAGTCGTCCCGTCTCCCACCTCCTGGTCCTGCAGCTGAGCGAGCTCGCACAGAACCTTGGCCGCCGGGTGCTGAACCTCCAGAAGCTTCAGGATGGTCGCCCCGTCGTTAGTGATGGTCACGTCCTTCAGGGTTAGTCAACCAGCATCACCAGCCATTACTCATCCACTCACTCACTCATCCACTCACTCACTCATCCACTCACTCACTCATCCACTCACTCGCTCATCCACTCACTCGCTCATCCACTCACTCGCTCATCCACTCACTCGCTCATCCACTCACTCGCTCATCCACTCACTCACTCATCCACTCACTCACTCATCCACTCACTCACTCATCCACTCACTCACTCACTCATCCACTCACTCACTCATCCACTCACTCACTCATCCACTCACTCATCCACTCACTCACTCACTCATCCACTCACTCACTCATCCACTCACTCATCCACTCACTCACTCGCTCATCCACTCACTCACTCGCCCACTCACTCACTCATCCACTCACTCATCCACTCACTCATCCACTCACTCACTCACTCATCCACTCACTCACCATCCACTCACTCACTCATCCACTCACCCACTCATCCACTCACTCACCCACCCTCTCACCCACCCACTCACCCACCCTCTCACCCACTCACTCACTCACCCACCCACCCACCGCCACTCACTCACCTACTCACCCACCCACTCACTCACCCACTAACTCATCCAACCTCTCACTCACTCACCCACTCACTCACCCACCCACCCACTCACCCTCTCACTCACCCACTAACTCATCCAACCACTCACTCACCCACCCACCCACCCACTCACCCACCCACCCACCCACTCACCCACCCACCCTCTCACCCACCCACCCCCTCACCCACCCACCCACTCACCCACTCACTCACTCACCCACTCACTCACTCACTCACCCACTCTCTCACCCACCCACTCACCCACCCTCTCACCCACTCTCTCACCCACCCACTCACCCACCCACTCACCCACCCACCCACTCACCCACCCACCCTCTCACTCACTCACCCACCCACCCTCTCACTCACTCACCCACTCACCCACCCTCTCACTCACTCACCCACTCACCCACCCACTCACCCACTCACTCACTCACCCACTCACCCACCCACCCTCTCACCCACCCTCTCACCCACCCTCTCACCCACCCACTCACTCACTCACCCACTCACCCACCCTCTCACTCACTCACCCACTCACCCACTCACCCACCCTCTCACTCACTCACCCACTCACCCACCCTCTCACCCACTCACCCACCCACCCACCCACCAACTCACTCACTCACCCACCCACTCACCCACTCACTCACCCACCCACCCACCCACTCACCCACCCACTCACCCACCCACTCACTCACCCACCCACCCACCCACTCACCCCAATGTCATCCACCAGCATCTTGTCTAGACCAACGGGTCCTAGAGAGCTCTTCACGATGTTGGCAATGGAATTTGCAGCCATCACTGAGTGGGGGGGGGCAGTGGGGAGGTTAAAGTAAAGTTACCCCCACACCCAGGTAGCCCACACGGGGCTAGACATTACACTACACTATATACTACACATTACAGTACACTATACACTACACTATACACTACACATTACACACTACACTATACACACTACACTATACACTACACATTACACACTACACTATACATTACACTACACACTACACTATACACTACACATTACACACTACACTATACACTACACTATATACTACACTATACACTACACTATACACTACACATTGCACTACACATCACACTATACACTACACATTACACTATACACTACACATTACACACTACACATTACACACTACACTATACACTACACATTACACACTACACTAACGACTAGATCCTACACTATACAGTACACACACTATACATTACACACTACACTACAGACTACATCCTACACTATACACTACACATTACACACTACACTAACGACTATATCCTACACTATACATTACGTGAGTGAATGAATGCGTGAATGACTGGATGAACGATTGGGTGAGTGAATGAGTGCGTGAATGAGTGATTGAATTAGCAGTTGACTGAATGAGTTGGATGAATGAGCAGATGACTGAGTGAATGTGTGGATTGGTGAGTGAATAAGTTAATGGGTGGGCAAATCAATGAAGCCGAGTGAATGATTGGGTAAGTGAATGTAAAAAATGTGAATGTTTGGATTGAGTGAGTGAATGGGTGGATGAGTGAATGAGTGGTTGAATGATCGAAGGTGAGTGGATGAGTGATATGAATGATTGGGTGAGTGAATGATGGTTGGTTGAATGAGTGGATGGGTGAATGAATGAGTAGATGGGTGAGTGAATGAGTGGATGGGTGAATGAGTTCTGGGTGGGTGAATGATTGAAGGCGAGTGGATGAGTGATATGAATGATTGGGTGAGTGAATGATGGTTGGTTGAATGAGTGGACGGGTGAGTGAATGAGTGGACGGGTGAGTGAATGAGTGGACGGGTGAATGAATGGTTGGATGAGTGAGTGAGTGGATGGGTGAGTGAATGAGTGGATGGGTGAATGAGTTCTGGGTGGGTGAATGATTGAAGGCGAGTGGGATGAGTGATATGAATGATTGGGTGAGTGAATGATGGTTGGTTGAATGAGTGGATGGGTGAGTGAATGAGTGGACGGGTGAATGAATGGGTGGATGAGTGCATGAATGAGTGGATGGGTGAGTGAATGAGTGGATGGGTGAGTGGATGGGTGAATGAGTTCTGGGTGGGTGAATGATTGAAGGCGAGTGGATGAGTGATATGAATGATTGGGTGAGTGAATGATGGTTGGTTGAATGAGCGGATGGGTGAGTGAATGAGTGGATGGGTGAGTGAATAAGTGAATGAGTTAATAGGTGGGTGAATGATTGAAGGTGAGTGAATGATTAAATGAATGGTTGGGTGAGTGAATGATTGATTGCGTGAGCGAATGAATGCGTGAATGATCGCATTAACGATTGGGTGAGTGAATGAGTGCGTGAATGAGTGGTTGAATTAGTTGATGACTGAATGAGTTGGATGAATGAGCAGATGACTGAGTGAATGTGTGGATTGGTGAGTGAATAAGTTAATGGGTGGGCAAATCATTGAAGCTGAGTGAATGATTGGGTAAGTGAATGTAAATAATGTGAACGCTTGGATTGGGTGAGTGAATGGGTGGATGAGTGAATGAGTGGTTGAATGATCGAAGGTGAGTGGATGAGTGATATGAATGAGTGAATCATGGTTGGTTGAATGAGTGGATGGGTGAGTGAATGAGTGGACCGGTGAATGAATGGGTGGATGACTGAGTGAATGAGTGGATGGGTGAGTGAATGAGTGGACGGGTGAATGAATGGGTGGATGGGTAAATGAGTTAATGGGTGGGTGAATAATTGAAGGTGAGTGGGATGAATTAATCAATGTGAATGATTGAATTAGGTGAGTGAATGGGTGGATGAGTGAATGAGTGGATGGGTGAGTGAATAAGTGAATGAGTTAATAGGTGGGTGAATGATTGAAGGTGAGTGAATGATTAAATGAATGGTTGGGTGAGTGAATGATTGATTGCGTGAGTGAATGAATGCGTGAATGATCGCATGAACGATTGGGTGAGTGAATGAGTGCGTGAATGAGTGGTTGAATTAGTTGATGACTGAATGAGTTGGATGAATGAGCAGATGACTGAGTGAATGTGTGGATTGGTGAGTGAATAAGTTAATGGGTGGGCAAATCATTGAAGCTGAGTGAATGATTGGTTAAGTGAATGTAAATAATGTGAATGTTTGGATTGGGTGAGTGAATGGGTGGATGAGTGAATGAGTGGTTGAATGATCGAAGGTGAGTGGATGAGTGATATGAATGAGTGAATCATGGTTGGTTGAATGAGTGGATGGGTGAGTGAATGAGTGGACGGGTGAATGAATGGGTGGATGAGTGAATGAATGAGTGGATGGGTGAGTGAATGAGTGGACGGGTGAATGAATGGGTGGATGGGTAAATGAGTTAATGGGTGGGTGAATGATTTTAGGTGAGTGGGATGAATTAATCAATGGGAATTATTGGATCAGGTAAGTGAATGGGTGGATGAGTGAGTGAATGAGTGAATAAGTGAATGAGTAAATAGGTGAGTGAATGATTGAAGGTGAGTGAATGAATGCGTGAATGATCAGATGAACGATTGGGTGAGTGAATGAGTGCGTGAATGAGTGGTTAATTAGTTGATGACTGAATGAGTTGGATGAATGAGCAGATGACTGAGTGAATGTGTGAGTGAATGAGTGGATTGTGAGTGAATAAGTTAATGGGTGGGCAAATCATTGAAGCTGAATGATTGGGTAAGTGAATGTAAATAATGTGAATTTTGGATTGGGTGAGTGAATGGGTGGATGAGTGAATGAGTGGTTGAATTAATTAGTTGATGATTGAATGAGTTGGATGAATGAGCAGATGACCGAGTGGGTCTTTTATTTAGACCTCAAAGAATCCGACAAGCTACGAAGCTCTTCCACACCCGGTACGAATGAGTCATTGAGGTGGATGAATGAGTTCGATGAATGAGTTCAATGAATGAGTTCAATGAATGACTGAACGCCATGGACGTCATTTATTTAGACCTAAACGAATCCGACAATCAAAGAAGCTCTCTCACAGACACCCGCTACGAATGAGTTCAATGAATGAGTTCAATGAATGAGTTCAATGAATGACTGACCGCCATGGACGTCAATTATTTAGACCTACACGAATCCGACAATCTAAAGACGCTCTCTCTTACACACCCGCTAGGAATGAGTTCAATGAATGAGTTCAATGAATGACTGACCGCCATGGACGTCATTAATTTGGACCTACACGAATCCAACAATCTAAAGACGCTCTCTTTTACACACCCGCTAGGAATGAGTTCAATGAATGAGTTAAATGAATGACTGATGGCCATGGGTGTCATTTATTTAGACCCAAACGAATCCGACAATCAAAGAAGCTCTCACACACGGACACCCGCTACGAATGAGTCCAATGAATGAGTTCAATGAATGAATTCAATGAGTTCAATGAATGACTGACCGCCATGGACGTCATTTATTTAGACCTACACGAATCCGACAATCTAAAGACGCTCGCTCGCTCTCTCACTCACAGATACACCAGCTACGAATGAGTTCAATGAATGAGTTCAATGAATGAATTCAATGAATGACTGAACGCCATTAATTTGGACCTACACGAATCCGACAATCTAAAGACGCTCGCTCGCTCTCACTCACAGACACACACCAGCTACGAATGAGTTCAATGAATGAGTTCAATGAATGAATTCAATGAATGACTGAACGCCATGAACGTCATTTATTTAGACCTACACGAATCCGACAATCTAAAGACGCTCTCTCTCACACACCCGCTAGGAATGAGTTCAATGAATGAGTTAAATGAATGACTGATGGCCATGGGTGTCATTTATTTAGACCTAAACGAATCCGACAATCAAAGAAGCTCTCACACACGGACACCCGCTACGAATGAGTCCAATGAATGAGTTCAATGAATGAATTCAATTAATGACTGACCGCCATGGACGTCATTAATTTGGACCTACACGAATCCGACAATCTAAAGACGCTCGCTCTCACTCACAGACACACACCAGCTACGAATGAGTTCAATGAATGAGTTCAATGAATGACTGACCGCCATGGACGTCATTAATTTGGACCTACACGAATCCAACAATCTAAAGACGCTCTCTCTTACACACCCGCTAGGAATGAGTTCAATGAATGAGTTAAATGAATGACTGATGGCCATGGGTGTCATTTATTTAGACCTAAACGAATCCGACAATCAAAGAAGCTCTCACACACGGACACCCGCTACGAATGAGTCCAATGAATGAGTTCAATGAATGAATTCAATGAGTTCAATGAATGACTGACCGCCATGGACGTCATTAATTTGGACCTACACGAATCCGACAATCTAAAGACGCTCGCTCTCTCTCACAGACACACACCAGCTACGAATGAGTTCAATGAATGAATTCAATGAATGACTGACCGCCATGGACGTCATTAATTTGGACCTACACGAATCCGACAATCTAAAGACGTTCGCTCTCTCACACAGACACACCAGCTACGAATGAGTTCAATGAATGAGTCCAATGAATGAGTTCAATGAATGAATTCAATGAATGAGTTCAATGAATGACTGACCGCCATGGACGTCATTAATTTGGACCTATACGAATCCGACAATCTAAAGACGCTCGCTCTCACTCACAGACACACACCAGCTACGAATGAGTTCAATGAATGAATTCAATGAATGACTGACCGCCATGGACGTCATTAATTTGGACCTACACGAATCCGACAATCTAAAGACGCTCTCTCTCTCACTCACACAGACACTCACACACACCAGCTACGAATGAGTCCAATGAATGAGTTCAATGAATGAATTCAATGAATGAGTTCAATGACTGACCGCCATGGACGTCATTTATTTAGACCTACACGAATCCGACAATCTAAAGACGCTCGCTCTCTCTCACACACACCAGCTACGAATGAGTTCAATGAATGAGTTCAATGAATGAGTTCAATGAATGACTGACCGCCATGGACGTCATTAATTTGGACCTACACGAATCCGACAATCTAAAGACGCTCGCTCTCTCTCACACAGACACTCACACACACCAGCTACGAATGAGTCCAATGAATGAGTTCAATGAATGAATTCAATGAATGAGTTCAATGACTGACCGCCATGGACGTCATTAATTTGGACCTACACGAATCCGACAATCTAAAGACGCTCGCTCGCTCTCTCACTCACACAGACACTCACACACACAAGCTACGAATGAGTTAAATGAATGAGTTCAATGAATGAATTCAATGAATGAGTTCAATCAATGACTGACCGCCATGGACGTCATTTATTTGGACCTACACGAATCCGACAATCTAAAGACGCTCTCTCTCTCACTCACACAGACACTCACACACACACCAGCTACGAATGAGTTCGATGAATGAGTCAACGAACGAAGCGAATGAAACCGAACCCACGTCCTCCTCATCAAACGCCGGAGCCCACTGAAGGCCGCAGGCTTATCTCGCGGTTTTTTTTCATTCCCCTCACGCTCACCGTTCTGAGAACGAATCGTTTCGCCAGATGTACGCTGCCCGAAGAAGCTGAGCGGTCGTTCCAAAGCCATTTTTGTTCGTTCGTTCGTCGTCGTTGTTTTAAAACAAAAATTCTCCTCACGTTTGGTTGCTTTTTCGTGTCTAATCGGACGTTCGCACAACGTTCGACTGTCAGAGAATAGCGTGGGTGGGGTGGGGGGCGGTGAACCACGTGGGGTGGTGGTGCGGCGGCGGGGGGAAAGGGCGGGAAATTGACCGGAAGTGGGCGTCGGCCGCGGGAAGTTGGCTTGAAGTTGACCTTAAAACGTCGTGCAAAAATAGTTTGCTTATTGATACCGGGAGCGTTATCGCGGTGCGGGTGATGTTTGAGGTCGGGGTTTGTTTGCGAGGATTTTATTTATTTGTTTAAAAAAAAAATTCAATGCGCCGGTTGAGGGAGCGCCTTTGTAGCGGGACTCTGGAAAGAGCTGGAAGCTTGGCCGGAAGTTGGCGTCAGATTCACCGGAAGTTATATAATTTTTTACTTTTTTAAAATTGTGTTCCACTTTTGTTTATTAATATCACGAGCGTTATCGCGGTGCGTGTGATGTTTAGAGGTTGCGGGGTTTATTTGCGAGGAATTAATTTGTTTGTTAAAATTTAACTGGAGGTTTGAGTGAGCGCCTTGGAAAGGGGCTGGAAGCTTGGGCGGAAGTTGGCGTCGGATTAACCGGAAGTTTAATTAATTACTCTAAAAAAATTTGCGTTTATTAATATTTCGATCGTTATCTACGCGTGTATAACGTTGTCGGTTACGGTTCATTTGCGATAACGTAATTTACTTGTGAAAATAAAAATGTCAATATTAAAGTGGCCGTTTGAGAGATCGCCTTGTGGGAAGCCTGGCCGGATATCGGCCACACATTAACCGGAAGTTGGGTTAGCGCACTTAAAATATTGTAGCGTTTAATTTCGTATATTAATTCATCCTTTGTTATTTGCGTGTGATTGGTGTCACGGCTTTAAGGTGTATTTGTCATAATTAAATGTTTTTAAAAAAAATCGCAGTTTGGTGGCATCACCAGCTGTGAATGTATTGGGCGGGAGTGGATCGGATAACCGCACCGGAAGTTGTGGTTAAATTATATTTATAACTTTTAAAACAAAAGTAATATTTTCGCTCAAAAGTATTGCGGCTGTTTTCTGAGTGTCAGTATTATTATTTGATCACGTAATGTGTGATGATGTAATTTATTTGTATAAAAAAAAATCCAAATCGCAGTTGGTATTGCAGCTTCGTCGGGAAACTTGGCCGGAAGTTGGCGTCACTGAAGGAAAGTTAAATTAATTATAAGTTATATATTTTTTTAAAATATTTTAATACATTTAGTACGTAAATGTCGTAATTGTAATATAAGTTAGTTGCTGGGCATATATTTATTGTAACAATATAATACTTTAATTTATTTGTTGCTACTCTTTGAGTCTTTCGGTAAAGTCACGTAGATAGAAAAATAATATAAATTTAATAATAAAGTCACGTTGATGGAACATTTTTATTTAGTAACAATATTATTTCAGTAGACTCACATGACATTGACTTCTCCAAGACAGAGGTTCTTTGTAAGCCATCTGGCTACCATGAGAGATTAGTTCATGAGGCTATCCACCATATACAAACAGAGATAATTTCAACCGAGAAGATGGATTCTGGCTTAGCAATCATTGGAAGGATTTGATAAACCATTTCAGGTCTTAATTGATTGATCATTGTTACAATTCAGTAGGCTCACATGACATTGACTTCTCCAAGACAGAGGTTCTTTGTAAGCCATCTGGCTACCATGAGAGATTCGTTCATGAGGCTATCCACCATATACAAACAGAGATAATTTCAACCGAGAAGATGGATTCTGGCTTAGCAATCATTGGAAGGATTTGATAAACCATTTCAGGTCTTAATTGATTGATCATTGTTACAATTCAGTAGGCTCACATGACATTGACTTCTCCAAGACAGAGGTTCTTTGTAAGCCATCTGGCTACCATGAGAGATTCGTTCATGAGGCTATCCACATATACAAGCACAGAGGCAATTTCAACCGAGAAGATGGATTCTGGCTTAGCAATCATTGGAAGGATTTGATAAACCATTTCAGGTCTTAATTGATTGATCATTGTTACAATTCAGTAGGCTCACATGACATTGACTTCTCCAAGACAGAGGTTCTTTGTAAGCCATCTGGCTACCATGAGAGATTCGTTCATGAGGCTATCCACATATACAAGCACAGAGGCAATTTCAACCGAGAAGATGGATTCTGGCTTAGCAATCATTGGAAGGATTTGATAAACCATTTCAGGTCTTAATTGATTGTTCACGCTTACGGTGGCTTTCAGACAGCATACATTGAATTTTCGTCTCCCCCCTCCTCTTTTCAGAACATAGATGGACTAGTCCTTCTAAATAAATTGCCAAATCGCTGCGCGTGGCGCTGACGTTTTTTAAAATAAATAAATGCACCGTTTAAAAATAAATTAATTAATGCAGACCGACACACCTGATGACGACCGTTTGTGTTATGGTCGAAACGTCGTGAGAATTTTTATTGTTTTACATATATTTTATTATTTTATTGTTTCCCTTTCAACGTGACTACCGAAAGCGCTAAGAATATAATAATATGTTTCTATCTACGTGACTTTACGTTGATAGAAAAATATTATTTTGTAATAATAGATAGAAAAATATTATTTTCTAGAAAAATATTATTTGGTAATAATATTATTTTCTATCTACGTGGTGACTTTACCGAAAGAACCAAGAATATGAATCCCTGCAATCACGAAAGCTTTAAATCTAAATTCATTACTCTTTCTTCTTTGGTTCTTTCGGTAAAGTCACGTAGAATGAGAATAAAATAATAAATTGATAAAATAAAATAACACAATAATATTCTCACGACGTTTCGGCCACAACACAAGCGGCCTTCATCAGGTGAAGGGGGGCGAGACTGTCTGGTAGGACAGCGCTGGAGTGTCCTACCAGACAGTCTCGCCCCCCTTCACCTGATGAAGGCCGCTTGTGTTGTGGCCGAAACGTCGTGAGAATATTATTGTGTTATTTTATTTTATCAATTTATTATTTTATTCTCATTCTACGTGACTTTACCGAAAGAACCAAAGAAGATGAATCATTGCAGTCACGAAAGCTTTAAATCGAAATTCATTACTCTTTGTTGACAACAGCGCGGTGACGTCACTCCGCTGCACGTTTCAATCGTCTCGCGTGACGTCACGATGCACGAACAACGTGGTGACGTCCCAAGGCTACGACGTTTTACACTCCAAATACAATCTTCTCGCGTGACGTCACGACGCCCCAACATCGTGGTTGACGTCATCCGGCTACGTAAGCCCATTTCCAATACCCGTTATCTTTGCTCGACGTCACGCCACTCGCGGGTTAACGTAATGACGTCGCCCGGCTACGTAGGGCAGATACTCCAACACGATCATCTCGCATGCCGTCACGACGCACCGACATCGTTGTGACGTCCCTCACTACGATTCTCTGCGAGTGACGTCACGACGCACGGTCGCGGCTCGTTGCGGGAAGGATGACGTCACCACGCCCTTTCACGGTTACGTCGTGACGTACACGATCGCCGCCTCTGCGTAATGGCGTCACGACGCGTACAGTCAAAACAAACGAACGCGATGACGTCGATTCGCGCGTGGGGAGGGGGGATCCCCCTCAGCGCGGCCTTTACGTCATGACGTCACCGGCCGAAGCAACGGACAGTGACGTCACCCCGTTGCTACGTCGCGACGTCACCGCGCATTCATCGTTGATAAAACGCGGGAAAACGAAATAGTTTGTGGCGGGAAAGTTGCTTTCTCTGCTCGCCTGCTGAGGCGTAACTTTGAACGTCGCTTAAGTCAGAATTATAGAAAAATTAACTGTTTGATTTAAATAGTGCGAGGTTTGTAAGGTTTAGACGGTTAACTAACCACTCAGAAAGGTAAGCCCTTTAAAAAAAATATGGCTAGGAATCAAATAGGTCCTAAATTTACCTCAGATTTGTAACGTGCTGATGATGTTGCTACTGCTGATGATGATGTTGCTACTGCTGCTGCTGATGATGTTGCTACTGCTGCTGATGATGATGCTGCTGCTGATGATGATGTTGCTGCTGATGATGTTGCTGCTGCTGATGATTCTGTTAATGCTGATGTTGCTACTGCTGCTGATGATGTTGCTGCTGATGATGTTGCTGCTGATGCTACTGATGATGATGTTGCTACTGATGATGATGTTGCTGCTGATGATGTTGCTGCTGATGATGTTCATACTGCTGCTGATGATGATGTTGCTGCTGATGATGTTGCTGATGATGTTGATGTTGCTGCTGCTGATGATGATTATGATGTTGCTACTGCTGATGATTATGATGTTGCTACTGCTGATGATTATGATGTTGCTACTGCTGATGATGATGTTGCTGCTGATGATGATGATGCTGCTGATGATGATGATGTTGCTGCTGCTGATGTTGCTACTGCTGATGATGATGCTACTGCTGCTGATGATGCTGCTGATGATGTTGCTGCTGATGATGATGTTGCTACTGCTGCTGATGATGCTGCTGCTGATGCTACTGATGATTATGATGTTGCTACTGCTGCTGATGATTATGATGCTGCTGCTGATGATTATGATGTTGCTGCTGATGATGATTATGATGTTGCTACTGCTGCTGATGATTATGATGTTGCTACTGCTGCTGATGTTGCTGCTGATGATGTTGCTACTGCTGTTGCTACTGCTGCTGATGATGTTGCTACTGCTGCTGATGATGATGTTGCTACTGCTGCTGATGATATTGCTACTGCTGCTGATGATGTTGCTACTGCTGTTGCTATTGCTGCTGATGATGTTGCTACTGCTGCCGATGACACTACTACTGATGATGATGCTGATGATGATACTACTGATGATGATACTACTACTATTAGTGATACTACTACTGAAGATGATACTACTAGTGATACTACTAGTGATACTACTACTGATGATGATACTACTGCTGCTGATGATACTACTGCTGATGATACTACTACTACTGATGATGATACTACTACTGATGATACTACTACTACTGATGCTACTACTAGTGATACTACTACTAGTGATACTACTACTAGTGATGATACTACTACTGATGATACTACTACTACTAGTGATACTAC